ATGGGCGCAGCTACTGAAACTACTTTGTATGATGAGGCAACGATGGAGCTGAAAGAGACTTTGAAGTTATTAATTGACAAAGAAGGAGACCTTGAGGAACAGGAATCACAGATTGGCCACTTGCTCCAAAATCTGACACGGGAGGATAGGGATGTCGAACTACATGGCCTGCAAATATACGAATCTAGACTTTGGATGAAGATGGCGGAGCTTGCGTATGCATATTCGATTAAACTGAGGATCTCTCCACCCCTATTGCTCGTCAATGAATTCATGAGACAAGCTATCCAACTTGCTGAGCGCTCAATCTCTCCAAGTGTTACAGTCCCTTCAGTTCTTGTTAACCATACTTGTCTGCTGTTTAAGATGGGCTTTACTACAGACTCCATCCAGAAATTCGAGGAGCTCCTCAGGTTCGTGGTCTCTCTCTGTTTCTGACGATAAGATTTATTTGTTCAGGTAATTGCTGCGAATGGATGGAAACTTCGGCTGTTTGAGCATAGGGAGGATCAACAATATAGAGTCACTCAAGCTCTACTTTAAAGGACTCCAGATGCTCCTACTGGATGCCAACGAGATCAAACGAGCACTGATCTGGTCTGATAGGAGCTATGCAAGAGACATGCTGTTTCTAGTCAGCAAAGAAGGGAATCGGGAGAACTCGATGGAGTTCGACATGGACGACGACAGAGCCTGGTCAGAAATTGAAGAAGTCTCCAAGATCATAGGAAAGGAAACAGCCATCTTGATTGTATCTAAGATTTCGACATCAACTTTCGACAACGTGGTTATCTATCTTCTACACAATGGGAATCTTATCAACTACAGACACCAACGCGGCTTTCAAGCTTGCTCGCCATCGGATTTACTGAAACTACTGGATGCTAACGACGCAGACAGTACTCTCAGGGATTACTACAAGATCATCATCGAGCCTTTTGAGTCGCAGCTAGAAAGTATCCAACCCAAGAAACTTGTTTTTGTTCCAAGCGAGGTACTCTAATCCAGTTACTCTCGGGAAGCTGGCGCAGCACGAAATCTTTCGTTGCATCAGCTTCACGCAGGAAGTTGACGACACTACCTGTGTTGGCTTTCTTCAACAAGGACTCCACCATCTCTCCTTCCTTTGTTGCGTAGATTAGATCTTTGGTGGGGTTTCCTACGACCAGGTATGATGAAGGCTGTGATTGCTGGGCTAGTCTTCTCTTGTCACAAGAGGAAACTGTGGCTACCGCATATTTCTGGATCAAGTAGTAATTGTCTTCATCGATCATGGCACCGAAAGGAACAACGGAGATATCCTACAAGTTTCGCAGCTCTTCAGAGTTTGCAAGTAAAAGAAAAAAAAGATAGCACATCGCAAGTCACGGGATAGTCCACCCCACTTACTTCCCAGATGGAGCTCTGATCTTGGCAGTGCCAGAGGACGACCTTGCAAAGTCAGCTCGATCTTCCGAGTTTGAGGAGTGCTTCTTGAGATCTCTCACGCTCACAGGGGACGAGGTCGTAGAGCTTGCAGGAGAAAGCCTGTTTCGAGCATCAGCTGCGGTTCTCAGCGCTTCCAGGAGAGTGTTTGCTGAGGGAACCTTGGCGCTGCCGAGGTCGTTCCACATCTCTGGAGTTCCGTCCGTGGTGATATCACTGTTGGACGTGAGAGACAAGCCCACCCTTGAGCTCATGGAGAAGATGTATGGGAATCTGGTGGAAGGGATGGATATTGCGAGCGCTCTCCAAAAGGCTGCTGTGGAGATGATCGAGGCCGACGATGGTTTCGAGATTTACGATGTAAGGGACTGGGCAGCGTTCTTCGTCTCGGGTAGTCTCAAGAACCCTAAATTTTAAATTCTTTTCCGTCCATTTTCCTAGGGTACAGCTTCCAGCTCTTATTTGAAGCAACCTCATGCCAGACCAAGCTACCTTCGCAACAGCATGTCAGCGGCGGCAACGCTCTCTCTGATGCAGCGCTGGATGAGGAGCATCCCGGATTCCATCGCGATTCCAACTGTGGAGGTGAAAGTGTTTGAGAAGCTTGCAGCCTAGGGCGCCTCACATTTCGTCGGAGCCTGATGGGATCTGGCTTGTGGGGGTCCAGTCTTCAAAGAGATACCCAAGAGATTCACAGCAGCAAGCGAGAATGATGTGATACTCTTGGATGAGAATCTCAGCTCGGGGAAACTTTACCTCTTGCTCATGCTATCCTTGCATTCTCTCCACAAGTTCTCCAAGGGGAACAAAGGTGCAGCAAGTCTCATCTTTAGAATGCCAGAGAGAAATTCCAGCTGCTCATGGCGATCAGAGAGGCTCTCTTGGTTCTCTCTTGCTCCCAATGACCTTGTCAAAGGGCTAGAGCCATCTCAAGAATAAGACTTGGTCAAAGTTAGAAATTTTTCTTTCTTTTTTTTGGTTATAGTGGGGGAATAAGAGAATATTCTGCTAGAAAGGGGCAGGGCAAACAGCCAATTTCCAGGAATAACATGTGTGTAGAAGTGAAGGGAGTGTAATAAAGAGAAGGTTCTTGGAAGGATGCTTCATCCAACAGCCTTGGAGTGCATGGAGCAAAGGTTGGCAATGCAACAATGACTATAGTCACATCATAGTGAGAATTGCTTGAGATCAATCAATTTGTGTGAGTTGTCCGACTTGTGGGCAGCACTGGGTTAGAATGTTGGCAAAGGTTCTAGCAGCTGATGAAGCTAGGAACGAGGTTAGGCAGCAATGATTTTCCACTTTGCTAGTGTGTCGTCATGAGGAGCAACATTGTTTAGTGCACTGCCCAAGAAGCAAAGCAAGTGTGGAGATTGTGGTAGAAGGGTGAGCACTAGGAGAAGCCAAGCTACCCTCACCAAATCGAGGCCATTCCTTCCTGGTGTATGAGCCAAAGAAGTCAAAAGTACTTGGCGAGATTTGTAGAAGCACAAAAGCGAGAGGAAAGACGAACAAGGTAAAGACGTGAGAGAGATTTGAGAATTCTTGTGAGAAATTTGCCATTGGATTATGATCCCGAGAGTCCAAGAGCGAGGAGTGCAAATCCTCAACCAAACAGTCTTGTCAGCAAGCAGGAGAATAATCAAGAACAAGAAGATGAGTGGCAAGAGTTCCAGTCATCACCACAGTGGCAACAGCCAGTAGAGCAACGGCAACAACAACCACAATCCAACAAGTACAACAGCCTCAACAACAACAAATCAAGGCAGATGCAATAGATTGCAGGAAACTTTTTTCAGCCACGTTACAAGGTGTAGCTGCAGAATGGATGGCTCAAGTTCCAGCAGTGATAGATTGGGCAGCGTTGAGGGTATCCTTTTTGGCTACCTTCAGGCTGGTAAGCTTTTCACAACGACTTATGAGTGATCTGAGTCATTTCCAACTCTTGCCAGGTGAGAGTTTACAAAGCTATACATTAAAGTTCAAGGGATTAATCCTCAAGAAGCAGCCACATTCGACAAAAGAGGAGCAAGCACAGTACCACATGAATGGCTTGCCTCTTCTATATAGTTTTCTCATATTGGAAGTCTTATTTCTCTTATCTAGTGTTTTCATATAGTTAAATTTTGAAAAACCACATCATTTGGCTTGCTATGTGAGAGCTTGTGGGTTTCCAAATAGTGCATGCTCTGCAGCACTAGTAGCACTAATAGTCATAGGCTTTGGAGCTGTCTTGCAGAGGTTTGTGATGCTGTGCAGCACCAATCTCAAGATCTTAGCACAAGGTCAAATGGGACAGTTTTTGGGGTTGTTATCAACACTCCAAACTTGGCAAGTTTGACTAGTGGGAATTATCTCCAGGGAATAAACATTTACATTGTGCACCCGGAGGATAATATGATCAAGTTGGCTCTCCATAGTTTGTGCATGAGACGGCAAGAAATGATGCTTGCTAGAGAGTAGGACATCCTACAGCATTTTGAAGCGCATACCCATATCGTGCAGCTCTGGTTGTTGAGTTTTGGAGCCCCTGACCCAGTCATCAGCCCTCTCCAGCTAAGTTAACAAACAAGTTAACATCTGACCCTATTCTCAAGATATTGCATGGCATTCATGGGGTTCAAATGCTTGAGGTGCATTTTGACTACAAGGTGCTGGTGCATCCAGAGATAGAGTCCCATACTGCCATATAACCAATAAATGGCATATGTCATTTGCCATGATGCTGTTCTATGCTGATTGCATCTTGCTCAATGGTGATTTGAAAGTCAATTCTAAATTCTCTTTTAATTTTTTCTATCTATGCATTAATCCTTTTGTGAGCCTTAGATTTTCCCAAGACTTCTGTTTAGTGCAGAAAGTTTGGCTTTTGATCACAAGAGACTGTTTGCCTGGGGAGACTCTCCTCCATCTTTGTTCACATGCCTTGGAGGCTCTAGGACATCTCTCTCCCGGAGACAAATCCAAAGGCATTCTTCAGGAATTCTTGGCAAATGTGCAAATGTGCAGTGCCTGAGTAAAAGGCTGAAGATTCAGTTAAACCTTTGCAAGTTGCAGTGTTCCTTGACTTTTCGTATTAACCTTGAATACCAAGAGAATATTCTGGGAATATTTTATGGCTTTAGGCCTCAAATGTTTGCATGGGGAGAAAAATATATGAAAAACTCATCATTATGTTTTGACTTTACTTGCACACACTCTTGTTTTTCTATGGGTTTAAGTTGGTAACTGCCATGCTATTGCATCCTCTATTAACTAACAATTGAATTTCTAAGTGACAGTCTAGCATTGCTTTGATCTAGCGCCTTAAACATCTAATGCATTAATCATCCCAAACATTATAAAAGGGATTGTTGTTCATTTTCCTGGCTTAAATACCATGAAAGTGGACAAATGAATTATATATAGGTATATATATATTGCCACATGGGTACAACCATTGCCACATCATTTCAACTTTTACAAAGTGTAAAGTTCTTGTCAAGAACTTGCATAGATGTTAGACATAGGATCGTAAGCAGCTGAGTTCTCTGGATTGAACACCACCAATGCCTCAAACGCAATCCTCCCATGCTTCATGTCCCTCCACTTGTGACAAGCCCCAAGCAGCGCCATCCAAGCCAGCCATAAAAGTCCACCATGCACGTCGCAAGAACTCCATCACCCTCCAAGCCACACCTGTAAATCTCCGAGTGGATCTCTTTCCCAGCTTGGAGAGACACAACCCTGGCAAAAGCAGTGAGAGCAGCGGCCAGAGTTTGAGTGTCGGGGGTGTAACTCTTGTTGACCAGTTTGTAGAGCTCCAGTGCTATGTCACGTTCTCCATCATCGGCGTATCCCAGCATGAGCGTGCTCCACAAAACCAGGCCCGGATCTGGCATAGTGTCAAAAACTCGCCGAGCATCGCCCATGCTTCCACACTTGACGTAAAAGTCGATCAAGCTGCTCGCGACGAAGGTGTTTTCCAAGTCACCGGGACACTTGGCTGCTGCCTCCGAGTGGACCGCCATTCCTTTCTCGAGAGCTGCTAACTTGACAAAATTTCCCTCGACTTGAGTGCCATCTTCTTTCTCGGCCAGACCAATGCAGGCTTTCAGTGCTGCTACGATCGCTCGAGTGTCCGGGACACAGTCTTGTGGTCGCAAACCAGTGAAAGCCTCCAGTGCCAGATCTTCTTTACCGTTTCGAGCGTAGCCAAGCACGAGTGACGTCCAAGAGACCAAGTTTTGTGAAGCAGCTCCTCCCAGGAAGACTCTCCGAGCCTCCTCCATTCTACCACAGTGCGCGTACATGTCGATCAAAGAGCTTGCAACGAAAACGTTCGAGTCGCAGCAGCACTTAACAGCCTGAGAGTGAACATCTCTTCCTCGCTCGAGAGCTGCGTTCTGCTTGCCATGGTTCCCAAGTTCTCGTTCCTTACCGGCCAAGCCCGTGCATGCCTTCAAAGCCGCGACGAACGTCAACCCATTTGGCACAAATCCTTGCGATTGCATCTCTCCAACCAAGTCCAGAGCTACTTCTTCCTCTCCATTCTCTGCGTGGCCGAGAGTCAGATCAGTCCAGAGAACTACATCTCGACGGTGCCTCAGTATCCTGTCGAAAACCATGCGAGCTTCCACCATGCTCCAACACTTCGCATACAAATCCACCAGAGAGCTCGCCACGAACACGTCCGTTTCCAAACCACGCTCGGCAACTTCAGCGGGGAGAACCTCTGCTACTTCCAACGATTTTCGCTTGACAAGCTTGCCATATATCTCGGTGCCTTCCTCTCTCGCTGCTTTCCCGGCACAGGCCTTCAACGCCGCAACGTAATTCCGACAATCTGGTGTGCAGCCTCGAGAACTCATGCACCGGAATAACTCGAGAGCAATCTCTTCCTCTCCATTGTCAGCATACAACACCGAGTCGTGCGAGACGATCATGTCGAAAACTTTGCGAGCGTCGAGCAAGCTCCCACATCTTGCATACATCTCCACCAGCGAGCTCGCCAAAAAAACATCCGAGTCGTAGTAAAACTGCGACACAGCCATCGCGTGAATGGCCATTCCCTTCTCCAAGCTTTGCGCCTTGACAACCTTTCCATCTATCTTCTGCCCGGTTTCCATCGCAGCCAGAGCCATGCAAGCTTTTACCACCGCCACGAGAGCCTGTCCGTTCGGAGAGCATCGCTGGAGTTGCATGCGTTGGAACAGCTCGAGGGCCACCTCTGGCTCGCGGTTCTCGGAGTATCCCGCGATCAAAGTTGTCCACGACACAACATCCGGGCGCTGGATCCTCTCAAACACCTGGCGAGCGTCTTCGAGGCTTCCACACTTGAGAAACATATCGAGCGCTGCGTTTGCCACGAATATATCTGTGTCGGAGGAACAGCTTTTTCCAGAGCCGCCGCCTTGACGAGTTTGTGTTGGCTCGGGAGCTTAACCGCTTCTTTCGCTGCCAGCACGCCCTGATAGATTCTCCTCATAACCAAGTACCAAAACCGTCCAGGAGACCAAACTGTGACTCGGGATCCTCTGAAAAACCTGGAAGGCGTCAGCCAAGTTCCCACACTCCCACACTCGGCATATAAACTGATGAGCTCCCTGGCTTTATCGAGCGGTGCAAACCTTAGCAAAAACTTGCCGCTGGACCATGAGCTTCTACTGCAAGCCTTTCAAGCAGCGACGTAAGAGAGACCATCCTTCTGACCTCATCCTGGAGAAGAGATCGAGCGCGAGCTCTCCTTGATCGTTATCGGCATGAGCGCGTTCCAAGGGACCACATCGTCGTGCGGGTGTCCGCGAGGCTGCCACATTTTGCGAACATGTTTATCAGAGTGTGTTTGTTTCCATACCCGTTTGGATGGCATCAGCGTGAGCAATCCTTCCTCTGTCCAAGTCTTTGGCAGCGGAGCAATCTTCGAGCCGATCAAGCAGCCGGCGAGATTTTTGGATCGAACCTTGGACGTGTTGTTGGCACTCTTGCGTATCACTTGCATTGACGGCGACAGTGTGTAGACTTTTGTTCCTCGCGAGGAGAGGCCACGAAGAAGCTAGAAAGTAAGGAACACTGAGTGGAAGAAAAAGAACATTATAACTTGATAACATGACCACGAAATCGTGGAAATCACGAAATCTGGAAATAATATCCAGATTTGCCAATGGAGTGGCCATTGCTCCTCCAGCGTGGTCACAAGAAGGCACGCATATAAACCCTAAGACTTGGACGGCAACAGTTGGATGCTGGATCGCATCGAAAAATCCAAGCGAAACGAGACTATCGATTTCAGTGACAAGCGCTTCCTTAATGCCGCGTGAATGCCACTTCAAATAAAATATGATAGTGGAACTCTAGAAGATAAACTATCACCTCACACATATAGCGCAGTTCTTCGTTGGATCAGTGGTCATGGATTCCACATGGTGGAGCAAGGACACGATCGCGCTCGTCACCGGCGCCAACAAAGGGCTCGGCCTCCAGATCGTGCGCGAGCTGGCGTCGCGCGGCATTACGACGATTCTCACATCCAGGGATGAGCGCCGGGGCCGCGAGGCTGCGGAAACCCTGGCGCGCGAGGGATTGGCGGTCGTCTACCACCGCCTGGATGTCTGCGACGCCGGATCCGTGGAAGAAATCGCGCGCTGGATCGCGGCGGAGTATCCATCGGGCATTGACATCCTGGCAAGTGGAAAATACTTCGAGTGTTCTTGGTGTTCTTGGTGTTCTTGGCATTCGTTACTGCGGGATCTCGGTGATCACATCTAAGATTCGTGTATCCTCCTTGCAGATCAACAATGCGGGAGTGATGCTGCTGCTAGATCGTGACAGACTCGAGGCGGCGAGGACGATCATCGGCACGAATTACTACGGCCTCAAGAGGACCACCGAGGCGATTCTCCCACTCCTCAAGCGCGGCGGCCGGATCATCAACATGAACTCCAAGGCCGGAGACATCGCGGTAAAGATTTTCTCTTCCCGAAGATCTTTGTTCTCATCTTTGTTTCTACGTACCAGTTCGTCAAGAACGAGTGGAGAGAAAGGCTCCAAGACCTCCGGCGCCTCACCGCCCAAGAGATCGATCGATTCATCGCGGAATTCCTCCGCGACGTCGGGGAGAATCGAGTGACCGCCGCTGGCTGGCCGACCTTCGACTACGTCCCGGGCGATCCAGAGGCAGTCTCGAGCTACTGGGTCTCCAAGATCGCCGCCGCCGCCTACACGCGCCTCCTCCACAAGCAAATCGCGCAGAGCTCGCGAGAGGACCGCCAGATCTTCGTGAATTCGATGTGCCCGGGATTGACAGCCACGGACATGACGACCAAGGTCGGGCATTCGGTAGAGATTGGAGCGGACACCGCAGTGTGGCTCGCGCTCATCCCCAGCGCCGCCAGCCCCTCCGGGGGATTTTTCATGCTCCGGCGAGACGTGGGCTTCTCTGGAATGCCGTTCTACTGCAATGGGGAGCTCCAGATCATCCAGAACGAGGACAAACCGGCGATGGATCTGGAGCCTCTGCCCAGCGCCGAGAAGGGGGAAATTAAAGAGCATCCTCTTCCTCTTCAAGCAATGTGAGCAATGCGCTGGGGATCGATTCAATCGAAGCAATCCCACAGCGCCCAGCTCCAATCCAGTCGATATTGCTTAAGATTATGTTGAGCTCCTGCTCTGGAGAGCAGAGCACGGCAGGAGCTCGACCGTCTGTAAGCGTCCAAAACAAATCAATCTAGCTAGCAATCAGTCAAACGCGCGATCAGAAAACTTTGAAGACTGATTTGATTCGAATGCGTCATCGATCGAAACCTCAGCGCTGGTTCGCATCACATCGCGACAGCCGCAAGCCAAGAACCCTAGACTAGCAACCAAGAACCCTAGAGTAACACGAGCCCTAAAAAAATTAAAAAGAAAATATGCTTCTAGCATATTCTACCAAGAATATGCTAAACCCTTAAAATAAAACACCTCACGCGGAGAAAGAATCAAGGGATTACATTTACACACATTGCAACAAGGAAAACAAACAAAAAATTTTCTTCCCTTCCCTCACGTTTTTTTAGCACCTTATTTCGTACGATCCAGCTCTTGTGATGTAGCGTACCCATTCCACTGTGCTGTATCCACTCTTTTCCCACACCTGAGGAGCCAGAAAGAAATCATTCCAGAATTCCTAAACAATCGCGACGAGTTTGCTTACCTTGAGAAACCTCACCCGCAATCCAGAGGCAGTGAACATTGGGACCTGGTAAGAAATTGTAAGAAATCACGCAAGAGAAAGATAGTGTTTTTTACTTGAAACTCCATCTGAATTGGTGGTCGTGTCCAGCTCTTTCTCTCGACCATCGTTGAGATAAGTTCCACTTCGGCACTCATTGTCAGCTCGGCTTGGCCGGGGAACTTCCGGATCCTGAGAATTGGTGGTCTAGTTACGAAAGCAATCGAAGATAAGAGGCCTTACTTCCATAGCAAGCAATCCACTGAGGCGTTATACTTGGCGCGGCCGGATGTAACTTGAAAGCTCGCTTTTGCCGTCTGCTTAGGGACTGGAACTTTTACAACTACGCCAAGAGCAAACATCTTTGATCCAAAGAGACTCTTGACCTGCACAAAGTCTTGAGAAGAAAGCCTTGAGAGATATTGGTTTACCTTCACATTCACTTCCATACGCGTGCGACCAAGTTCTTTGATGCTGGGAAAAACTCGAAAGGGAAGGTTGATCCCTTCAGTGATTCGATACCTGGAAAAGATATGAAAAGATATAAGTACCAAGTTAGCTATACCATCACAAACTTGTCTAGTACTTCATCAGCTCGAATTCTCCATCCGGAGGAACAAAGCTGACCGTCTTCTCGGAGTTAAATCTGGTTAAGTTGACGCACTGATGAAACGTGACATCGTCCAGCTCTATCGTTTTCCCACTGAAAAATTTTTATCAATCAAAAAGGTTGCACTAATGTACACCTTAAAGCATACCTTTTTGCAGGACGCGCTTTCACCTGTGCTTCCTTTTCAAGTCCTATTTTGTCGTTGAGCCCGAGCTTTAGATCAGGCATGCCCGATAGAAAGCACTTCATGAGAATCTTCCCTGTTACGTCGCATCTGAGGATTGTCCCTACATAAAGAAGGAAGAATATTTCCAACAAGGACTTTTCAGTGGCAAGCGCCTTACCCTTTTGTGACATAAGAAGGTTCACACTCTCCACGATATCCAAAAACACCTAGAAAGCATACGGTATTAGTCTAGCATCAAAGTTCGAAAAACAGCAAACCTCGTTTTTCTTGTAAACAAGACCCTCTCTTCTCCATCCCACTGCACCGGTGACTTGAAGAGTAGCATTTGCTGGGGGTCTTGTATCTATGGGCTGGAAAAAGATAAATTCTGTTAACCAGCCAGGCAATGCAACACATCGCTACCTTCGAGAATGGCGAACGAACACCCTCCTGAGTTATATAGAGCTTCAAAATCTCAGGAGAAAGATTTTGCGGGTATCCAAAGTCCATGATCTCTGCACATTTCAAAAGTGTGATGAATTTTCCGAGAAACCAAACGAAAATACCGTCGAGAAGCTCGTAGATGAGCACAAAGTTATTTCTGATAGCGTCCTCATCAAAAGCACCACCGAAATAACTCTTGAAAAGAGCCACAGCCTGTGAAAAACCAACGAGAAAGGAGCAAAGTTTAAGAACAAGAGAAACAAAATCTCTGAAAGCGTAGACCTCCACGACAAATTTGAGAGCACAGGCAGCATTGGCATTGCTGCTGACGACGATCACAATGTAGACATTGCTGATCCGCATGTAGAGGAAGGAGCATCCACCAATCTGGCGAACGGGGCAAGTTCCCAAGTCCTTGGTTTGCATGATATGCGTTCTAAAGGCGTCCACCATGTTCCCTCTGCAAAATTAAACGTAGCCAGTCACTCTAAGAGCCCTAAATTCTCACTCCGGAGCTGGATCTCGGGCCCGAGCCGACCCAAAAGCTCGCGAAATATGACCCCGTGCTGCCCCAGGACACCCTAGATCTAGCGCTCGAAATGCCGGAGAGAATTGGGAGGATTCTTACCCGACATCGTCCCTGTAGAGGCGATTGATGAGCACATCCCCTCGCAGGTTGAGGAAGTAGATCGCGGAAGCCGCGACCGGCATGATCGATGCGCCCAAACGCCTTAGGGTTTGAAGCGCATAGAAGCTCTCTCCCCGTGCTAGCGCCCTGGCGTTCAAAGCTCACTATGACTCTAAACCTGGCCGATTCCAACGGCCAAGATGGAATGGCCTCCCAACGGTGGCGATTGCGTCAACGGTCAAGTCTAGTCAATCCAGTCAACGCCTTTCCTTGCAAGGAATTGGAGAGCAGCACATACAAAGCCCCATGTTTTGGGAAGGAGTTTAGAACGTTCTTGGCCGCTTCTACTCCAAATTCCAGTTGGTTGTGATCGAAACACGCTGAGAGAAAGCACGTCCACTCCAAAGTATCAGGCATAAAAGGCATGGAATCTAAGAGATCCCTCGCATCTGTGAGATACCCAGATCGCCCAAGAACATCCACCATGCAAGTGTAGTGCTGCTTTGTTGGGCTCCTCCCATAGTCAAACTTCGTCGAGGTCATCCAGCATCGAGCATCGAAAACTCTTCCCAGGCGGCTGCACGCAATGAGCAGCGATGCAATGCAGCTCTCGTCGGGCGGATCGATCAGTCTCATCTCGTCGAAGAGATCAAATGCGCTGCTTGGACTGCCAGTATATGCGTAAGCAGCCAGCATTCCACTTTGAGAGATCATGTCCTGAGAAGGCATCCGATCGAAGATCCTCCTGCCGAGATCTATATGCCCATATTGGGTATACGCCACAACCATAACGCTCCACGAGATTAGGTCTCGCTGCGACATTGAATCAAACATAAGCTTTGCTTCCTCCAAATGCCGGTTATGGGCATATACCGCAACCATTGCGTTATATGCGACCACGTCTTGCTCGGGCATGGCGTCAAAGACCTGCTTGGCATGCTCCACGTAAAACATTCCGGCATAAGCTGCCAGCATGGACGTCCATGTCACTTGATTCCTTTCTGGCATAGCTTCAAACACTGTCCTTGCCTCCTCCAGATGCCCTTGCGTGGCATAAGCTGCCAGCATGGCACTCCACGTCACCAAGTCCCGCTGGGGCATCTCGTCGAAGATCCTTTTCGCTTGATCAAGTTGCCCTGATTGGGCATAAGCGGCCAACATGGCAGTACACGTCACCAGGTCCCTCTGCGGCATTCGTTCAAACACATCCCGAGCGTCCGCTAGGCGCCCGTTGTGGGCATAGACGGTCAGGATGGCGGTCCAGGAGATGAGATCCTGGACCTCCATTTGGTCGAAGATCTCCTTGGCCATTCCGAAATCGCCACTCTCGGAATAGGCGGTCAACATGGCGGTCCACGATACTAGATCCCACTGTGGACACTCGCTGAACAAGGCTCTTGCTTGGAGAATATGCCCATTTTGGGCATATGCTGTGAGCATCATCGTGAAGAGAATGAGATCACGCATTGGCATTTTATCGAAACATCTCTTGGCCTCTTCGATTTTGCCACTGCGAGCGCAGATTCCGACAATCACTGTCCAGGAGCTCATGTTTGGGACTGGAATCAAATCAAACAGCTGCTTCGCCTCAATCGATTGCCCTCTCTGGGCATAAGCAGAAAGAAGCGCGTTCCAGGAGGAGACGTTCCTCTCGGGCATTCGATCAAAGAGGTGTTTTGCTTCCGCAATCTGGCCAAACTGCGCATACCCAGCTACGATCGTGGTCCAAGAGATCAAGTTGGGATCAAGAATTTCATCAAACAACCGCCTGGCTCGTCGCAATTTCCCCGCCTTGGCAAGCGCGGACAGGAGAACGTTCCAGGAGACGATCGTTCTGTCCGGCATCGCATGGAACACAAACTCGGCCTCGTCGATGCAGCCGTTGCGCGCGTAGGCGGACAGCATGAGATCCCACGAGTAGAAATCCTTGCTCGGGATGGAATCAAAGACCACTCTCGCGCTTGCAGCGCTGCCACACTTCCCATACATCTCTAGCAGCTTGTGCGAGAGATAAATGTCGCCGGTGCCCAGCACAGTCGCGAATCGGGCGTGGATCTCTCTCCCGGCGGACAGAGTCGTGCACGATTGAATCGCCCGGGCAAATTTGTCCCGGTCCATCCTCGGCTGTCCGATGGCCAAGATCGAACGCTCCACATTCAAATCCTCTTGCCCTAAAAGTACAAATAAACCAGCTAATATCCGTTCGATGGAGTCCATCTGACGGCCATTATTTGAATCCAAGAACCCTAATCTCGCGCTAGTGGTTGTTGACTAACAGCGCCACACAGCAGCAGCATGATTGTGTTGTTCATCATTTCTTGAGGATCTCTGTACACATCCGTTGACAATGCGTCGTCAACCCTTGATCCTCTCATCTATCTATGGTGAAAAGCGGAAAAATTGGCGAGAGTGCTGCAGTAATTTCCTCCTCCCGCGCGTAATGAGACAGATTTACTGCCGTATCAATGCGCGTTTGAAATTGATCGATCCAGTCGAGGAACTTTAATGGTGGGCGCTCGATTCATATGCCAATTCATCACTCTCTCACTCCGATTGGATAGCAAGCATTAGATTTTGGCGACTGGGTGTGGAGGGCTTGAATGCGTGTATGCGTTATTCGCGGAATATGCCCGGCTTTGATTCCCGGGATCAAAGCCCTCCCATTGAATGCAAGGGCTCCCCAAATGCTCCCTCCCTTCCTGGCACGCCACTCTTTTCAAGCTCATTTAATGCGCGCTTGTCCCTACCATACATACACTTACTTTTACTACTACCACCCAAGAAATCTCTTTCCTCTTGAAAACATCCTCTGACCGCTCCATCGAGCGATCCAAACGCCGCGAAAGCTCGCGATCGCTCGGGTGGGGTACAAATATACGCGCGCGATCGGTCGCTTTGCCTGCCGTGATCATCGCCTGGAACCATCACATTTCATTCGTTTGTCACGTCGCTGGTAAATGATAGATCAAGGTCTGGCTTTTCGATTGTATTGCCATTGTTGTTTGCGTGTTACGGTTGTGTGGGTGGGCGATCGATCTCGTATCTTATATGCTTTGAAGAAAAAGGACGAGGAAGATCGCTTGGCGGCGCCACCACCATCGCCACCATCTTTTCCTTCCTCTTTTTGTTTCTCTGTGTGTGTGAGAGAAATCTTCCACCCTGAGTTTGCGCCACCACCACCATTCAAAGCCAAAAACCTTGCGAGGGGTTTGAATGGATTCAAAGGTTTTGTGTGCTTGATCGTGTGACAGCGAGAGGGTTTGGTTTGCGGGCATTTGATGCGGTTTGCTGGTGAGTCGCTATTGGTTTTGGTCGATTTTTCTTTCACGAGAGAGAGTCCTAGAGCCCCCTTCCTTTTTCTTCCTCCCATCGATCGAAGCTCTCTCCCTGGCGCGCGAAGCTGGAAGTTTATCTTTTTCTTCGTGTGCGTGTGAGCAGTGCCAGTCGGGGTGTGTTAATGGTGTGAGCGATGCATTGAAAACGTTTGGTCGTCATTTGTACGCCGTCTTCCCTGACTTGCGACGAGGAGAGCTCTCTTTCTCTCTCTCATCTCGCTCTTTCTTTCCTCTCTAATCTTTGTCTTCTTCTCCCAGTCTATCGTTCGATCAATCTTTGGCCCGCGACGCCACGGCCCAGCGCAACAGCGTGCTTTCTTCTTTTTTTCTTAGTTTTTTGGTGGAATCGCAATCGCCCACCACTGTTTTAATACCTAGCTAGGCCTCTTCGCTTCGTCTTCTTCTTCATTTTCTCTACAAGGTCTTCGGTGGCGGTGCCGCCCAGCGAGGATTTTCCGCGCCAAAGCGAGCCGCTTCCCGGCAGAATCCAGCGTCTCGCAGCGACCCATCGCAGCAAAATCGCAAATTGGTTCGTCAAGTCGCTGGAATTGGGCAGAGGAGCATAGCGTTGTAGTATGGCAGTGGCTATGGATTCCGGATGGACGTCACCTCGCTTTGGCATTGGCGGCGGCGCAGGGGGCAAGAAGCGGGGCTGGGGTGAAGATCAGAACAAGCTCCTCCAGTTCATGATTGGGCAGCCGATCGAATCCAGCAACGATCAGACGAGCACCACGACTTTGGATCTCTTGGGCGGCTCTTCGTCTTCCTCCACCAAGACTCCTGTCACCGAGACCCTCGATTTGAAGCTCGACATGGAGATGTCCGCTCCAAGCGGCTGGGAGAAGAGGCTCGATTTGAAAGTAAGTCCATCCACTCGTTCTTCCTCATCTCGCTTGAATTGATCCAAGAGTTTTTCTTTTCGCAGCTCGGCAAATTCTACTACGTGAATCTCAGCACCGGCAAGAGCACGTACAATCACCCATTCGCGATCGCGACGAGCTGCTGGGATTTGCAATCGGAGCTGGACAGGATGATGTCAAGCTCGCCATCGCCATCGCCATCCTCGTCGTTCGATTTAGTCGATTTGAAGCTCAATCTCGCCGTGGGCAGCACTAGTGCCAACTCGGGTTCCTCGTTTAGGGAGTCGATGCCCAGCCTGGGCATCTCCACGATCGAGGCGGTCCAGGAGGCGCTCAAGCGATCGATCAAATCCCCGACCTCCTCGGCGACATCATCGTCGGAGATCCAATTGGACGATCGATCCAGGAGAGGAGGGGGGGTAGTCGCGGAGGAATCGACGAGCGTCCCAAGCCCCCGGGTTGTTCTCACCGGCTGCAAGCGGTGTCTCATGTACGTGATGCTCACGCGCTCGGATCCACGGTGCCCGAAATGTGGGAGCTCCGTGATCAATCCTCTCCAAGATTTGCCAAGCAAGAAGCCACGATTGGAGCTCGATTTGTTGTGACGGTGAGCTCTCTCTCATCTGGAAGAAGAACCGTCACACTAGTTGTTCTTGTCACCCCCAAACTATAGAAATACAATGGTATATCCAATAGCATGATCTTGGGCGATAATGATATAAAAAAGGATGATTATGGACGATCGATCACACTTGGGCGATGGTAGATATTCGTGCAAAGCTCGAGTTCTTTCTAGGACCATCCGAGATTTTTTTTTCACGCGCTGGTATGGCACAGGGAACATTCAGTGACCCTGGAGCGAAGGAACAAAACAAACAAAATCAATAGATTGATCCATCTATCGAAAAACTTGATCTCACAGAAAGTCCATTCCAAGCTCTTTGTTTGCACGCCACCTTTCTCGTCCGCCACCTTGTCCGTTTGAATGCATTCATGTGATACACGACAAGATTATTCCCGGAGATATTCCACTCGCAACTTCTTCGTCTTCCTCTTCCACAGTCCACACCACCACTCAAGTCGTGGGATTTTAATGGCGGCATGGAAGCTTGGAGCTCTCCTCCATAGTTTTTCAACGTGATTACTGCAAGGCCACCACACAACAACGACAATGTTGATTAAAAACCCAAACATGGCATGATCAACGAGAACAAGCATCCACGAACCTTGGGCCGAGCGCAACGTGGACACCATCTGGGCCGCCCACGGGGCCGACGGCCGCGATGGGCCCCGGCCAGTGACATAGTGTGGCATGACGTGACGATGAGGCGATGCCATGTCGCATTAGCATTCATGGCAGTGGACCTTGCTTCACAACTTCCACTGGTGTGTTTTCACATGACGTTGTTGCCCTGTCTCTTAGTGTACCAAGAACACTAAAGGAAAGAAAAACACAAGGAAAAGAGTGTTTTAGTATAACTCCTGCTAGCCAGCGAGAGAGAGCTCGCTGGGCCTTTAAGCTAAGAAAGAAAGAAGGAAGGAAAAGCTTGCCTTTGATAGGGATTTTGGTTGTTGATTCCTCCAAAGTGGATGGTGATGGTGGCGGTAGCTCGGGCCTCTCTCGTTTGTTGCTGAAAGAAAGAAAGAAAGGAAACCACCTACAAAAACAAAGCTGGCGTTGGTAAGTACAAGAGGGATAGAGTGACGAAAGAAAGAAACACTCCACAAACACACACACACAGAGACGCACCTTTCTTATTTTTCGTCTCGCTTGTTGGATGTAGCTTTAGTAGCTCTTTTTCCTCAGTCCCACTCAAAGTCCAGCCACCATGAAGTGTTGTCCTCCTCCGCAATCCTCCGCGGCGAGCTATCACAGCTCCTTGTCGGTCGACTCGCTGCTGGAGATCGTGGATTCCAAGCAGCCACTTCCGTCCGGGTGGGAGAAATGTCTTGACTTGAAGGTGAGAAGATTTGTTCGCTGATTCTCTCAATCCCTGAAGTTTTGGTTTGCAGTCTGGCGTTGTCTACTTCCGGAATCGCGCCTCCGGAGACAAGAGCTACGCCGTTGTACCGCACAGACTTCCCCTACAATCACTGGAGCACAGTCAGTCCTTCACGCAAAATTCACTTCACGACCGAATTCACCTGTCCAGCGAAAGAATTCAGGTGTCGAGCGGCACCAGCAGCAGCAGCAGTAGCGGTGTTGTCGTGGATTTGGAGCTTGGTCTGGGACAAACTGCCAAGGAAAATATCAGAGGTTCCACAGTCTCCATGACCAGCCGCAGCCGTCCATTGCTGCAGATAGAAATCGAGGACCTGGATTTGAGATTAACTCTCCGGCCGATGAGCAGCTCGCAGCAGCAACAGCAGGTCGCAATGCCACCACCACCACCTCCACCATCGCCGTCTCACGTCTCGATTTCATCTTCTTCGTCGTCTCCGTGTTCGTCAACCACGCACGTCGGAGCTGAATCTTGCGAGGCCGAGTCGAGGAAGTCAAAACGGCAAAAGACACGAACAAAGTCCCAGGAGTGGCCTGTCATGGTCACTGTAGGCTGCCGGCAGTGTCTCATGTACGTTATGCTCTCCAAAGATAACTTGTGCTGTCCAAAATGCGGTAACAGAGTCCCTCTGGATTTCATTCCTGCCGCCTGAACCCACTGCACTGCAGCACCAATAACTTGTTAGGAGATTAAAGAAAGAAGAACACAAAAACAAAGTTGGCTGTAGACAAAGTCCTGATTGACTCTTAACAAGCAAAAATGAAAAAGGAAACCAAACAAGATAGAGCAGCACTGGAAAGAGATAAATGCAATGTCAACTGGAGAGACGCTGGATTTCATGAACTACACTGAATGGTTCTACACTCGAGTTTTTCGACACATTGACTAAAGGAAGAGAAAAAAGAAAAGGAGAGAAAAAGTCAGAGCTGGGCATTATGGCCATCTCGCTTGCATGACACCGGCCTAAGTTGGTTGGCCCCTCTCATTTCACTCGTGCTGACACGAACACAGGCAACCAATGCCTTAAAGAAACAATGACTATGTCTTAGCGGAACACCCGACAGGACAGGGGGGGACGAAATCTTACCCAGTACTTTAGTTCCTTGAAGCTTCTCCAGCGCTGAATTCTCGCGAGCGTGATCGATTTTGCTTCACTTTGCGTGTTCGCTTTGTTCGGAGCCCCAGTTGGTTGGATTGTTGTGCAGCACTTCTGGCCAAATAGCATTAGATCGAGCAAAGAAAAGAGTAGCCATCCATCGTGCAAATGACTTACACTGACAGAGAAGAGAAGCGGTTGCTTCGTCGTCCGTCCTGCAAAGGAAAAACCGAGGCACATTAAAGAAGTAAAAACAACAGTGGATGCCACTTGAAACAGTTTGTTGCCTCGTCACAGATAAGAAACAATGAGCGATGGAATGTTGTATTCTGAGAGAGTTACGTAGCACCAACCTTCTTTTCCTGCAGTGTACACCCTCTAGGAACTCATTCGCTCTGCATTCATGGACGAGCAAACAAAGTTAGCGAAGTTTCAGTCCAAGGAAGATATATGTATATATTTCGTAGAGAAAAGGATAAAACTTTCCAAGGTAACCTTCGTTTGCGATAGCCATGAACTGCTTACGAGGAGCAAACAATGTTAGCCAAGATTTTAGTCGAAGAAAAAAGAGACCGCGAGAACCTTATCCTTCCGGATTGATCACGCCGAGATGAGCGTCGTTTATCGTCGCAAGGCAGCGGAACCCATCGCCCATGAACTGCCCTCCCAGGATCTTCGCTCGAACAGCACAACCTTTGGAGATTACCACACCATCGCTGTTCTTGAAACACGGGCCGTTCTCGTTGGAGTAGACAAACCCAGTCATGAGGCTGTGGTGGAGAAAGATCGCAGTGTAAGGGCCGCAAGAGGCCTCGGCGCCACTCTGCTTCACATTCTCGATCTCCAGCTCCACGATCTCGTTCTTGATCAACTTGAACACCATGCACTTAAAATCCACTTTGTAGGAGACGCCGCCGGACTCCCTGATCATGCCCCCGCTCACCTTGGACAGTGTCGTGGGCGCGACATAGTAGCCGTGCTCGCGGCTGCATTGGAGATCCTCCATATCCTCTAGCAGCGTCTGGATGATCCAGCGCCGATGGCCGCCGGAAGGATCCATATGCCGGGGATGGACGATCACATCGCGGCGCAGCGAAATTTCCCACCACATTGCCGCGCGAGAGGGAAACTAGAAACCCTAAAATCCAAAATCCCTAAAACCCTAAGCCCCATAAGAAACGGTCACAAAATAATGATGTGGGCCGGATCTCGTCCGTACAAGTAGGGTTTTGCAGGTTTTGGAAGGGATCGCCCTGCCGGATCGAGCGCGCTCGTCAATCGCTGCCTCTTCTCTCAACCCGGTATGTCCGCGCCGGGATTCGCCGCGCTCCCCCTCGCGCTCTTCCCCATTGTGTGCGCTGTGGCGGCGATTAGGCTGCAATGTCGTCCCCCATTCTAATCCTCTCTTTGATTGTAGTGTCGATATTGCGGCCATACTGGAGAATATGACGGAGCCGTCCAAGGTTCTCCACGTCCGGAATGTTGGGCAAGAAATAACGGAGGTAAAGAGGAGAGTTTATAGTTGTTTGAGCAATGAGAGAAATTATTTTTCTTCTTTCCTTTGCAGAGTGACTTGCTCGGACTGGTCCAGCCATTTGGGTCAGTGAGCAAGATGGTCTTGCTGAGAACGAAGAACCAGGTAATGGTTGCTCTTTCTTTTTTCTTTTCGTTCTTTCAGCCAGTTTAAGATCACTGTTCTTTGCAGGCTCTTTTGCAAATGCAAGATGTGAATGCAGCCATCAGCGCGATGCAATACTACACGTCGGTACAGCCGAGTGTGAGGTTCGATGGTTTTTTTTCTCTTCCTTTCTATCTCTCTCTCTCTCTCTCTCTTGCTATCGCTGTTTCTTTCTGTTTTCGCCGTGAAAGCTGACGTTTTTCCGTGCTTGCTTGCCACAGGGGTAGAAACGTTTACATCCAGTTTTCGTCACATCAGGAGCTCACAACTTCTGATCAAGCAACGCAACCTCGGCGTCCGGCTGGTGATCAGGTTTGTCTCCTAGGATGGACTGAGTGCCTTTATCTCTAGATGGAAGCACCAGTTCTCAAGAATTTTTCTTTCTTTCTTTTTGCTTTGGATTTTCTTTAGCTTTCTACTTCAGTACTGGCTCCCTCACTTCTTTTTCTCTTCCTGTCTTCTCTTGTATCTTGCTGGAACGCGGTGTGGGTCTTCTTCAGGATCAACAACCCAACCGAATTCTCTTAGTTACTATTCACCACCCGCTCTATCCCATCACCGTGGATGTGCTGCATCAAGTTTTTAACCCTCATGGCCATGTCGAGAAGATCGTCACGTTCCAGAAGTCAGCTGGTTAGCTCCTCTCGTCTACTCTTAACTTTTTATTTCTCTTTTCTATTCTGTCTCGTAGGCTTTGCTGTTGCTTGTGATTTTGCGAAGCTACTTTTCTTTTTGCCTTTTATCATTCGTGCTTTTGACGCAGGCCTGCAAGCGCTTATTCAGTACAACAATCAGCAAAGTGCTGTTTACGCAAAGTCCCTTCTCCAAGGGCGTAACATCTATGACGGCTGCTGTACATTGGACATCCAGTTTTCTAAGTACGTTGTAAGACTTACTTTCATGTATCAAGCTGATGTCGCACATTATAACAGCCTTCAGGAGCTCCAAGTGAACTTCAATAACGAACGGACAAGGTACCAACCTCCTCCGATATTTTCCTCTTTTTTTGTCTTGTTTGATGCTTTAGCGGATAAATATTGCAGGGACTACACAAATAGTTCTCTACCAAACGAGCCTGGGCGATCTCAGAACCCGCCTGGGGGTAATAACATGATGGTGAGTTTTTTATTTTTGGTTTGGCGATTCCGAGCATTAAGCGCCTTCGTCAACTTAGGCAAACGTTCTGCTTCAACAGTCTCTTTTGGACGGTAACATCTACGCTATGCCTCCGAGACCGGCTGGACAAATAGGTGGGAGAAAATTTGTGTGTCTGGCAGGTGTTTAAAGTATTTTGCTTTCTCTTGCAGTCAACTTCCAGCAGGCTCCTGGTGCTCAGCCTCTTGGCTATCAGGTACATAAAAATTTCTTCCTTCTTGTTCTCTTCAGACATTTTACTTCCTTTGTTTTGTCAGGTTCCAATGACACCGTCAGCGGCTGCTGCAGCGGCTGCGTCTGGTGGCACACTTCCTCCCGGCGTCACTGGTACGAACGAGCGATGCACTCTTCTCGTATCAAACTTAGCTCCCGAGGTAACCACGTTCACTGGCAAATATATAGTAGTCCTTACGCTTGGAATATGGCAGAAGGTCGATGCGGACAAACTATTTAACTTGTTCTCCAACTATGGAAACATAATTCGGATAAAAATGTTGCACAACAAGCCCGACCACGCACTCATACAAATGGGCGATGGCTATCAAGCCGAGCTTGCAGTGTACTACTTGAGAGTAAGTAGTATTGTTATTTATTCCATTCCAAAACTCTGCAAACGTGTTTGCTTGGCAGGGAACGATGCTCTTTGAGAAGCGAATGGAAGTGAACTTCTCTAAGCACTCGCAGATAAATCCATCGCAAGACACTCACGACTACTCGTCATCGAACTTGAACCGCTTCAACCGCAACGCGCTCAAGAACTACAAGTACTGCTGCTCCCCGACCAAGATGATCCACGTCTCGAGCCTGCCGACGGACATCACCGAGGTGGACCTGATGAACCATCTGTCCCCGCACGGCAACATCCTCAACGTGAAGATCTTCGAGGCAAACGGCAAGAAGCAAGCGCTGGTCCACTTTGACAACGAGGAACAGGCGACGGAAGCGCTGGTGTGCAAGCACGCGACGGTGGTGAAGAAATCCACCGTGCGACTGGCCTTCTCCAAGCTCTCCAACATCTGACGGGTGTGGTCCCGTGAAAGAGATTTGGCCGAGCTGCTTGTACACCTGGGCCACTAGACAAGCTAGCCGTGCCGGACGTATAAGTTTTTCTCGAATTGCTGGATCGACAAGAACAGACATTAATACCATTCTCTTCATGTGACCTTGTTGGAAGTTTATTTTATTCTTTTCTTATGATATAAACTTCCATTCTATGCTTCTAGTTGATTTAATAATTCCATCTCTTGCATTGCAAATGATATCTCGAGAGGATTCACTCAAAAATTAAGGCACACAAGGAACTCCAGCAAACGCTAACGTTATATTTTACCTATCTAATATCTTGAGATCCAGCTACAAAGATTGAGATTGCTGAAATTCCATCTCTTCTATTTTAAGCATTTGTGTCATAGGAATCATATAAAGATATAAAGGAAAAAAAAATTAAAGCTTTAGATGTTTTATTTGAACTTTTTATGCAATGTCTTTAAATAGGTTAAAATTTAGTTCCTTTCTTGGTAAGAAGTATGAAGTACTTTATTTTTGTAATATTTTTTTCTTTATTATTTTTCATAGTGGAAACAGTAAATTTTATACAGAAAACAGTTCCAGGTAGAATTACAATAAATGATGTGTTTACTATAGAAGAAACAATTAATTGTTTCCTTAATTCAATTCTAAATGGGACAATTTTAAGAACTGGAGTTTTTCCTATTGAATGTATAGGGGTATCTGTAATTCAAATAAATATTAAAATTCATATCTATGCTTTTAATTTTAATAATTCTTGCAGTCTTATTGGTCCACAAATAAAAGTTAGTGGTGAAACATTTAAAATAGTTTTTAAAACACTTCTTTTAGCTGTTTTGGAGGAAGCCCAAAATGGATTATATGCCCGTATTAAAGCAGTACATGAATTTCTAGGATTAGAATATAGAGTACATCTTTACTATCGCGATTCATTAAAAAACATAAATAATACCACTATACAAAAGGTAATAATAAATGTTTTAATGATCTACTAAAATATTTTATGATGTTATTAGATAAATACAAATGATAATGACTGTTGGATTTATAGATCATCCTTGGTAAGTGGAAATATAAATGATATTGGATCTTATCTTCTCTCAAAAAACTCTATTGTTTCACCAAATGCAATGTATAAATTAAAAATGGAAAAAGATTGTAATTTATCATTTTACTTTTTAACCAAACAAATATGGGAAACTAAAACAAAAAAATTAGGATTTAATTGCTATTGTATTTTAGACACCAATCAAAACTTTTTTATTTATGATGATATGCACAATATAATATGGACTTCAAACACTAATAGTAAAATTACAACAGAAAGTGCAATTATAATTGAAGACATTGGTAAGATATCTTTATATAATACATTAACAAATAGCTTAATTAAACAATGGCCATAGGGTATATTATTTCAATTGTTGTGTTTTCCATATAGATATCTTATAATATTTCATTTCTAAATTGAAGATATATAACCTTGAAGTATAATATAAACTTCATTCTATTATAGTTTGATCAAATGCTTTTGATTGGATGTTATGTAGGATTTAATAATTCCATACAAAATAATAGAAAGTATCAAGTCTCTTGCATTACAAATAAAATCTATTGGTATCTTGAGAGAATTCACTAAAAATTTAAGGCATACAAACAAACATTTTCCTAGCTAACATTGTATATTACTTATTTAGTATACTTGGTGTGTAAGAATATTAAATTCCATTAATCTTAATATAGTTTTTGGGTAACATTTATCCATTGAGATACCATTTCAGCAATTTCAACTTATATCTGGATGTCAAGAAGTTCACTTCACCAGCATTGTGGATACCAATATTTTAGTTTATTTGCTTTCCTTTTTGGGACAACTATCTTTTAAGGGACCTCATTGTCTTGTAATAACTCTTATGAAGAATAGCCAATAATGCTATGAAATATATTATAATATATTTATATTGTAATCCAATTGCATTAATTTGCCATGATATAGTATTGTAAATAATCCTTAACCTAAGCATTAACATGTTCAATCTACCCATTTACAAGAGGATGATAACTTATACAAAACTTCAGTTTATCCAAGATCAAGAATTTTTCCTTTCCCTCCTTTTAACAACTGAAATAGTGTGCCCTAAAACTTTCTTGTAAACCTTGAATCCCTACTCTTTAGTCTGTAAACATATGCATTGTAATTTTATGATTTTCCATATTATAAATAGTATAATTTTTATTATGCTAGTTCGCAAAGAATTTGAACCCTTCAACAAGTTGGCATTTTATACAAACATTAACCTAAATTGTCCTCAATCCGCATTAGAGAAATTGGATACGTGATTCAGGCCTGAGACCCTACTGGGTGCGCGAGAGGTCACCAGGGGCGGTCAAGAATTGGGCTCATCTCGCCCATTTTCCATCCAGCTGCCCGCAACACTATTCGATGAGCAAGTGCTGGCTCATTCGCTCACTAAGATCGGTGATTGGTGAAAGTTGGAAAGCTGGGCAAGGATGGGATGGCTTGCACTCTGATTCTGTTTGAGTTTTCCCTCATCTCTCAGCCACTGCCAAGAGTTTGGCAGACTTAGATAACTGGTGGCCAGACTCACGAACAAATCATCCCATGACCACACACCTCCAAAATATTGGCTGGTGTGTCTGTGTGATCTACATTGGTCTTTTGTGAGCAATATATCCATTCTTATGCAAACGCAAAGGTACCACAGCATAATGTTTAATGAGTACGTTTCTATCCAGATTTTCCCAGTGTTCTTCCCAAGCATCACTAATATAAGTGCTGGGATTTTGGTCAAATGCCTTGCCTTGGACGTGCTAGGCATTGACTCAGTACTCATTGTTTTTCTTTTGCATATCACAAAACATATCTGCATCATGTCCTAAAAGGTGACTTTTTAAGAATTAAGCTTGCAAATGAAGTGTTAAAAGCTTTCAAAATAATTATCAAGATTTCTGGAAAAGGCATCAACTTACAATGTGCCAAAGAAACAAAATACCTGGTTTTTGTTCTCTCTCCCATTCATTGGTTAGTCCCATGCTCCTCAGTTGGATAGAAATGGAATTGCAAATGTAATTCCACATTCCATGAAACTATGCTAACTTCCAGTTTGAAAGTTGAATCTTCCATTTTGGCAGAAGATTACAGCAAGGACATAATAAAAATGATTGTCGTGAATTTGTGAAGTGTTTGTTAATTTGGCACTTACTAGTCTACTACTATAACGAGCGATTTCTGAACTGCTGGATCTGGCCAGTCAGCGTGGAGTAACTCAGTAAACATTGCTTACCGCACGTCCAAGACGAATGGAAGGTAGAGCAGGATGGGGAAAGGGGCCAGGTAGCTGCTTAGATCCTCAAGGCAGCAGCAAGATCACGCGCTTCTGTGGCATAAATTCCATATTGTAGAATCCGAGTAATTTCATACCCACTGATTTCGAGCGTGCAGATAAATCCTGCTTTCTTCTTGCTGCTGCTCAGGAGGAAAGGAGACGATCCTGTGTGAATCTACCTCTCGCAAGATCCCGCGTTGTGTGTGCCACTAAGGTAGGAAACTTTGCAGCTGCCGTGTATGTCCTGGATGACAATCTTCTCGATATTGCCATGAGGGCTGACAACTTGGTGGAGTATATCTGATAGAGCGGATTATGAATGATGGCAAGAAGCACCCGAGAAGCGTCCGTAGAAAACGAACAAACATAAGCACAAGGAACGAATGACTGACGAAGACACACAGACTTTGAACTGGAGTCCCTGCAACACATTTGAAAATGGCAACAGACAAAATGAAAACTTCAAGAGCGCCTGGTCCTCTTGATAACACTCTACGTCTCCCATTTCCAGAAGTGCCTACGGACGAACCGATGATTGTGCCAAGGACCGTCCTAAGAGAAGTGCTTGATAACACTCTACGTCTCTCAATTCCAGAAAAAACCAGAGAAACCACGAAAACGCATACATCTCTCCCTGATCTCATCACAATGAACGTGTTTATGGATCCAAAGCAAGACATACCACACTAAAAAAATCCCACATTTTCGCAAGCGCACACATCTGAGTGATCTCGTCCGCTTGCGTTCGGAATAAAAGAACCTTTGACGGGAGCCTACAAAAAAACAGGTGTAGTTAGAACTTCAAGAATCCATCTATGGAGACCAAACCGATGATTGTGCCAAGGTCGTCGTGGCGAAGCAGAGTCCCTGGAAGAGTCCATCGCTCTGCGAGCCAAATGTGGTAGAGGAGAGAAAGCGGCTGCTGGTCAGGAGGCGCAGAAGCGAGCCCAACCCTAAACCATAAACCCTGTAAGGAATATGTCGCGCTGTTCCAGAGGGTCGTCTCCAGCATCTTGCGCGCTTGATCGATCCTCCCGGCCATGGCGCAGGCTTGGACCATCGCGTTCATCGCTCGGTGAGGCATTCTTTCGAATAAACTCTCGGCTTCTTCTAGGTCATCGTTCTGTGTGTAGGCGAGCATCGCGTCAAAGGTACTCCTAGCCTCGGAAAGATGCCGGTTCTGGGAATAAGTGTTAATCATCGTGTTCCAGGATACAAGATCTCGCTGCTCCGTGTATAAAAGATCTCTTGCGCCTCCGAAATCTTCCCTTCTCCAGCATACGCAGCCATCATCGTGTTCCAGGTAAAGAGAACCTTCTTCTTTGTTCTATCAAACAGTGTCTTGGCTTCTTCCAGGTCCCCATATTGGGCATATGCTGTGATCATGGCATTCCACGAGACAACATCCTTGGAGGGCATCTCGTCAAAGAGATCTCTCGCTCGATAGATCTGCCCTTTGCGAGTGTATGCCGCGATAAGTTGGGCTGATCCAGGCGATCGAAAGCCGCTTGCGCCTTGTCCAATTGCCCGCACTTGCCATACATCTCGATGAGGAGATTTCCCAGGTATCTGTCATTCGCAAATTCACTCGAGGAGATTTGTTTGTAGACTCGATCTCCCTGTGAAGGGTCCTTGGAATTCCCACATTGCTTGAGGAGGTGAGCAAAATAGTCAGTGTCACACTTGCATGATTCATTAAAGCTCCATTGTTTGTTCTCGAGTGGTTTTGGATTACGCCAGAGCCCTAGAAACAGGGTTGCCTTCTCCAGCATCGTCACTCGCGCAAAGGTACTCGATCAAATGCAAATCCATTCCATTTCTACAGCGCTAGAACTAGCGCGCATTTTCGCTCTCGCGTCTAATCCTACAGGTAGATAGATAGATAGCAAGCAATTTCTCCAGAGTCATGCTGTGGGCACTTCCAACGAGTAAGCCAGCGACTACTCTAAGCCCGTTTTCCACCAGCAGCACGCACAGCCACCATAGTCATGGCAGATTTTTGGCCAAGGCAGCCTCCTCAGCTTCTTCTCTAGAGCTCGACAATGGCGAGGAGAACAGGACCAGTTCCAACACTCCCGAGGAAACTGGAGAGTCCAGTGCCAGCGCGAAAACGATTCCCAGGTACACGAAATGGACTCCACAGTTTGCTAGAGTTGATGAGGTTCTCAAGATCCTCCAGAAGACTGGGAATGTAGAGGCGGCGCTGGAGAGCTGGGACAAATCCCTGTCGGCCAAGAACATCGTCACGGTTCTCAACAATATCAACCGCTGGGAGAAAGCTCTCGCCTTCTTCGAGTGGCTCAAGGCCCGACCTGAGCTCTACGAGATCAACAGGTACACGTACAACGTGATGCTCAAGATCCTACGCAATGGCCGCCAGCTCGAGCTCTCGGAGAAGCTCGTCGAGGAGATGACGGGTCGCGGGATCCAGCCAGACAACTACACTTTCAGCACTCTGATCAACTGCGCCAAGCGCTGCCGCCAGCCGGAAGAAGCTCTCAAGTGGTTCGAGAGGATGAAGAGCGAAGGGATCGTCCCAGACGAGGTGACTTACAACTCGGTGATCGACATGTATGGGCGAGTGGGACGAGTGAACGAGGCCGTGGAGCTCTACGAGAAGCTAAAGTCCGTCAACTGGAAGCTCGACACTGTGACTTACGGCGCTATAGCCAACGTCTACGCCCGGGCCGGGGACTACCAATCCATCATCCAGCTCGTCCAGGAGATGCGAGACAGTGGAAGCTCCCCCAACGCCGTGATCATGAACACGCTCATGGGGACGCTGAGCAAGGCCGGGAAAGTGAACCAGGCCAAGAAGGTGTTCAACGAGATGAGAACCTCCGGAGTGAGCCCGACGCCGGTGACGCTGAGCATCCTGGTGGAGATGTACACGAGAGTCGGAGCTTACGACCAAGCATTCGAGGTCTACGAGACGCTCAAGACGGAGGGATGGAAGTGCGACGTCGCGGTGTACAACTCGCTCATGAAAGCCTGCGTCGAGGGAGGCCGAGTCGAGCAAGCGGAGGATATCTTGAAGGAGATGAAGCGAGCGGGGTGTAACCCGGATCATCTCACGTACAGGACGGCCATGAACACGTACGCGACGAAGGGAATGGTGGATCCGGCCAGGAGGATGTTCGACAAGGTGGTGGCGCTCAACGGCAAGCCGGACACTCCACTCTTCACGGTGATGATCCGGGCCTGCAAGCTCGCCGGGGAGATCGAGCAGGCGAGCAAGATCTTTGACGAGATGATGGAGAGTGGCTGCTGCTCGCCGGACGAGCGAGTGAGCGGGATGCTGCTCTCGTGCATGGCCATGGCCAAGAACGACGACGAGCGCCTTGCCATCCTCGACTGCCTGGACAAGTTTAACGCTCCTCTCCACGAGCTCATGAGCGCGATCGTCCGCAAGGAAGAGCCGAGATCCAGGGACGAGGTGGCGGAGATGGTGGAGAAGTTCATCAGCGACTACCCCGAGACGGACTCGCGCAAGCCGCTGTGCAACTGCCTCATCGACATCTGCTCCAGCGTGGGGATGAAGCACGCAGCTCACAAGATCTTCGCCATGGGAGTTGCGGTGGGAGCCTACGATGGCCTCCAGACCAATCTCCCATCGCTGTGGCGGCTCAACCTCCGGACGCTCTCCATGCCCGCGGCCGAGTGCGCGATCGAAGCTTGGGTGAGCTCGCTCAAGGCGGCTGTCCGGGAGGGGGACGAGCTCCCGGAGGATCTCATAATCGAGACGGGCGTGGGACGAGTGCGCAGTGGACAGAGGCTCAACCCGATCGTTGGAACGCTGCTCAAGAAGCTCGGGGCGCCCTTCACAGAGAACACCGAGCCGGCGGGGTACTACTGCTCGACTGGAGCCGCGGTGGAGGCGTGGATCAAAGCGAGGATCGCTCTGGAAGAAAATTCGGCATTTTCTCTCTAAAGATTTTATAAAAACTTTATGGACTTTAATGAAATTGTGACTAGTAATATAGCAAAAGATGGCGGACGAAAGCCGGTGAGGGTTTGACGGTGCGAATCTTGCGACACCATCGCCCTCTTGTAAAGCGCCTATACCCAACACTGTCTCGGCGGAAGAGCACAGGCGACACCTATGTTTGTGGTATGTACGCAAATTGGGTGTCTATCTTGTTGCCTCTCTCACGCAGCAATTCCTGCAAGCGACCGCAACGCTGCCAAAGGCATGCCCCGTTCGATCCGTCACTGCCACTGTCTCGAGAGAACCTGGTCGAATGGCTCTCGACAGTCCTCTTAAGCACCTTGCAACGAAAGTGCTTCTCTTATTGGTGGAGGCTGATAAGGACTGGTTGGCCGGACTGCTCACAGCGATTCCAAACGCCGAGAACCCGTCGAGGCCTCTCTCAGCCGTGGTCGAGTATGCTTCTCCAACCACAAGACGTCCTTCAGTCGTATATCCACTGGAAGTCAAGCGTGTTGGAGCTAGAGAGCAATTGTTTTGTGATATGAAAAAGAAAAACAACGAGTACTGAGTCAATGCCCTAGCACGTCCAAGGCAAGGCATTTGACCAAAATCCCAGTGATGCTTGGGAAGAACACTGGATAGAAACGTAGACTCAAGGGTTAAAAATTATGCCGTTGATGTCTTCGTGTTTGCATAAGAATGGATATATTGCTCATAGAAAACCCATGTAGATCACACAGACACACCAGTCAATATTTTGGAGGTGTGTGGCCATGGGATGATTTGTTCGTGATCTGTACACGGAGTCTGGCCACCATTTCTAATCGACAGTTATAACTCTGCCAAAACTCTTGGCAGTGGCTGAGAGATGAGGAAAAACTCAAACAGAATCAAAGCCCAAGCCATCCCATCCTTGCCCAGCATTCCAACTCTCACAATTCTCAGTGCTTCTCAATTGCTGATCTCCCAGATGGGCTCACGAGCTAATCAGCCAGCACTTGCTCATCCAATGGTGTTGCAGGCTGATTGATTGATGTATATCTTAAATCCTGCAAAGAATTTGAACCCAGCACCACCAGAGCCTTCAACAAGTTGGCAGTTTATATTCTATTCCAATCTGAAACCATGGAAACCATCAAATCTCTTGCATTGCAAATAAAGTCAATTGGCATCTCAAGGGATGTGGAGGAAGCCAAGAGGATCCACTTCAAGGTTAAGGCACACAAGGAGCTTCAACAAAACATTTTCCTTGCTAATCTGGTTGTAGAAATGTATGGCCGGTGTGGGTGTATCAGCGAGGCTCACGATGCCTTTGAAGAGATTCTCACTCCAAATCAGTTTTCCTGGAATATCATGCTCGCGGCATTTTCACGCAACGGGGACTTGGCACAAGCTCGAAGCTGGTTTGATGCGATGCCACAACGGAATCCTGTTGCCTTGAACACGATGATAGCGGCATATGCCCGCATGGGGCATCTCGAAGAGGCCGAGAACTTGGCGATTCGCGATCAAAGCGATGATCCAGCATCATGGAATCCCATAATATCTGGATACCTACAACAGGAAGACGTAGAAGGAGCCAAGAAAGTTTTTGATAGAATGCGCGTGAGAGATTCCATCTCCTGGAATGCAATGATTGGGGGATACGCCAAGCGTGGGCATCTGCAGCAAGCGTGTCATTTGTTTGAGAAAATGCCCGATAAAACGATCGCTTCATTGAATTTAATTCTCAAATCGCTCGCTGCGAATGGAAAGATTAAAGAAGCAAAACAGTTTTTTGATCGAATGCCTCAGAGGGATGAGATCTCCTGGAATGCCCTTCTCCGGGGATTTATTTCTTGCGGGCAAATCCAGGACGCAAAAGAGCTATTCGATCTCATGCCTCACCAGCGCGATCCAGGGACTTTGTTCGTACTATTGGAGGGGTATTGCAATCACGGGTTGATCCAGGAAGCCAAAACATTGCTCGATTCCATTGATCCACCCATAAGAAATCCAAGTGTTTGTTTCCCGATAATCCGTGCGCTGGGCGATGCAGGGGACGTGATCGGTGCGAGGGCGCTATTTGATCGCCAGGAGAAAAAGGACATCCAGCTATGGACGTTGATGATGAAGATCTACGCGCAGTGGGGCAACCTGGAGCTAGCGAGAGAGATCTTTGACGTAATGCCAGAGAGAGATGCAATTTCCTGGACTGTGATTGTGAGCGCGTACGGAAGAACCGGCGATCTGAGAGAAGCAAAGAACCTTTTCCAACAAATGCCGTATAGAGATTCCGTCGCGTGGTGTTCCTTAATCTCGGCATATGCCAAAGCGGGGCATCTGGAGGATGCGGAGAGGATGTTCTTTGATGAAGTTCCTGCCAGGGACGCTTCGATGTGGAACGCGATGATCACAGCGTACGGAGAGAACTCGAGAGTGGATTTCGCGGAGAAAATCTTTAAGCAAGTTCCCGAGAAAGATCTTGTTTCATGGAATGCCATGATTTCGGCATTTGCCGCGAATGGAGAAATCGCTCCCGCCAAAGAAACTTTTGATTCCATGCCAATGAAAAACATAACGTCGTGGAACACACTTATGGCCATGTACGGAGAGTACGGCATGCACGGTAATGCCAGGCAAGTGTACGATGCCATGCCCCAGTGGAATCTTCTCTCGTGGAACTGCATGATACAGGCATTTGCGGAAGGCGCGCATCTGCGTTTCGCACGGGAACTGTTCGAAGTCATTCCCGTACGGGACGTGGTGTCATGGACAACCATTCTGGCCGGGTGCGTACGGTCTGGGGAGCCCAACAGGGCGAAAGAAACTTTTGAAAGTATGCCCGAGAGGAGCATTGTATCCTGGAACGTGATGATTAGATCTTGCGAGCTCTCAGACGAACTGGAGATGGCGGAGAGGATTTTTAACGAAGAAATGCCGTGCAGGGACGTTGTCTCTTGGAACTGTATGCTGTCAATCTACTCGAAGAGCAGCAGCAAGCTGGGAGAGCTCCAGAAAACTTTGCTGGAAAATATGCCCGAGCACAGTGTTTCTTCCTGGAGCTTGGCCATTGCTGGTTTGTGTCAGCACGATCGTCTCGATGACGCTGAGCTTGTTTTGAGCCGGCTGCCTTTGATTGATCTCATCTCGTCCAACACGCTCATCACCGCCTATTCCCAGAGAAACCAGCTTGAGCGAGCACGAAAGCTCTTTGATGCCATGCCTCAACGAGATGTGGTGTCCTGGAACTCGATCATGCAAGCCTATGTCCGGCACGGAGATCACCCAGAAGCGATCCATCTCTTTAAAACTATGGACCTGGAAGGAGTCGAGGCTGACGAGTTGAGCTTTCTTACTGTTGTGGAGGCCTGCTCGATGACCACCGAAGCTATCTTGTTTGGAAGATATCTTTACTCTATCGTCATCGACACCGGATTCCTATCCAACACCTTAGTTGCCACTGCATTCTTCAGCATGTTTGCAAAGTTTGGTGACTTGAAAGTGGCACGAAGTATGTTTGATGCCCGAGTAGAACACGACTTGGTTTCTTGGAGTGTTCTCCTCAGTGCGTACAGCCAGAGTGGCCATGTCATGGTTGCCGCTGAGGTTCTTCACGAAATGTCTATGGATGGTTTCTCAGCCAGCAAAGTGACTTTCGTTAGCATCCTGTCTGCTTGCAGCCATGGAGGCTTTCACCACCTCGGCTGTTCTCTGTTCAGTTCAATGGTCACTGACTATGGAGTGGAGCCGGACGCCGTGCACTATACCTGCATGGTTGATCTGCTTGGGAGAGCTGGATGGCTGTGTGAAGCACGAGATTTGGTCCGCGGACTGCCTAGAGAACCTTCTTCCGAAGCGTGGATGTCTTTACTTGGTGCAAGTAAGCTGCAAAGTGAATCAAACGTAGCAAACATGGTAGCTCCAACGAACTTTGGATCATCGTTTGTCACCTTGATAAACACGTACGTCAGCTAAAACTAGCAAAACACGCTTCGATTTTACAGGCTTTGAACATAGGTGCTGTACAGGCTCGGAAGTGGACTGTATATGTCTCTCTAAATTTTTTAGTGATAACGGCCCATGATTGGACATAGAGAATACATTTCAAACAGTGAGAAATGTATATACAGTCGAACAACTTCTGTAAACCATTGTTCTAATTAAAAAAATTGTGTCTGACTATCTCTGCTCGACTCCCGACAAGATGATCATCTAGCTTGAAAACTGCAGAGCACAACTTAATGAGAGCTATAAGAACCTTCTCCTGCACAAAACAAAAAGTGAGCTCATTACTAACACCTCTATCCACTTACCCTGAGAAACACACTACGACTTCTTATGTCCTTGCAAATGCATGTAAATGGCAATGGGATTACTCAAGGTCTCACCATCCGTGACAAATTATTGTTACTGTTGCACATTGGATCCTGATCATGTCTATTTTGAATATGAACCAGCAGGGCTTGCATTCTGTCATTCCGAAGCTCATATGTCCCATCCGGCCCTGGCATCAGGACAGGCAGCAGTGCATCATACTCCTTTTTCTTCGGTTGCAGTATTACTACCACACCACCCACAAAGAAAAAAAGCAAAGTGAGCTGCTAACAGAAGAGAAAATAAATTATGTAGAACACAATGGACTCATTTATTATACTGCTATTTCCCACACAGCTTGGTCACCAAATCCTGGAGCTTGACGGGGTGGCTAAACTTATTGTAGCTTGCCCCGTGCTTGCAACAGGCATATATTGCCAAGAGCAGCACAATCCGAACTATTTCCCCTCAAGGCCCCTCCACAACGTAAGCTTGCTTGAAAACGCGCTGCACCACCTCCACCACCGCACACAAGTGATCTTGATTGCATATCCGCGCAGCTGCCTCCCCCAGTATAGGCTCGAATGCATCCACGGTGAAGACGGCGTCACGGTCGCCACTTACGTGGCTCACCGTCCGCATGGTGGCTCGCTACCATGTCCATGGCCAGTCCGGACCAGGCCACCACCTCGAGGCCAGCCGCCACCCCCCAGAACGGCAATGCCCATTTCTTCCGTCCATGCTTGCCTGCCATGCGGCCTCAGTCTCGCCAAGGTCATCCCACCCAGTAGCTTCTGCATGGCTCAGCTCTTCCGAGGGGAAGGTTGGATCCTGTGTCTTCAGCTGCAAGGACATTAGCTTCTTTGCCTGCTCGAAGTCCCGCCACAAGCTTCCCACCACCCAGATCGGCTCGAATGACTTTGTGGAGGGAAGCCGGGGTCGTACATTATCGCAGGGACGACGACGCCCAGCTTTCCTGCAGTGTCAGCACCAGTCTGAACACCTTTATGTCGCGCGGAATGCTCAAGAAAAAGCTCCTGCAGGCCAGGAATGAGCCGGCCACCTCCATAAACAATGAAGCCGCCTCGTCCATGCAGACGAGGATCTTCATCTCAGGCGAGACAATCTTCTTGGCCTTGCAGAGCCGGTCTGGAATCAGGGACTTTCTCCAGCACCTCCTCAACGAGGTCACGGTAGCTGGAGGAACAAGCACGAGCAGCACAAAGTCAGCAAACAAAAAGAGAAGATAGTCTCGCGCATACCTTGTAGCCACGTTTACGGCAAAATGTGGCTCCGACTGTTCCGTTACCCAATCCTGTGGGGTTTTCCCTTTGATCTGAGTTAGAATAGCGAGAATCCATGCTCCCACGGCGCGTGGATCGTCGCCCTGATTACTGTCAATCAGCTGCTGAGCCACTGGACTTCGACCTGGGATGCTTGTAGACCCAAGCCTGAGGAAGTTGACGTTAAAACTTAGGGGGTTATAAAAGTAATTAAATTAAAATCTCCGTTAAACCTTTTGCTTTTAACCTTTACTAACGAAAAATATTCTTTAAAAGGTAAAATACCTTTTCCTTTTGACCATTTTACTAACAAGAAAATACAAATGTAGAGTGAAAAAATCTTTAAAAGGTAAAATGGACGTTCCTATGGCCGCGAGCTGGGCGTGGCCAGTGCGACACCGCGCGCGTGACCACCGCGGTAGCACAACAACCGGATACTTCCCCATGGCCCAGTACCGGTTGCGATTAGGCGTATCGGTCCTTGTTTTTAAGTAGGGAAAGGAACCGGATGAAAAACCTCAAGTGGGCATGTACCCCGGTTGGTGCAATGCCGGTACCGGACCCTTCTAGGAACGCCCCCTGTAGGATATCTAAGCGAAAATGCGCGCTAGTTCTAGCGCTGTAGAAATGGAATGGATTTGCATTTGATCAGAGTACCTTTGCGCGAATGACGATGCTGGAGAACGCAACCCAATCCAAAACCACTGGAAGAACACACAATGGAGCTTTAGTGCAAGTATCAACTGACTATTTTGCTCACCTCCTCAAGCAATGTGGGAATTCCAAGGACCCTTCACAGGGGGATCAAGTCTACAGAAAAATCTCCTCGAGTGAATTTGCGAATGACAGATACCTGGGAAATCTCCTCATCGAGATGTATGGCAAGTGCGGGCAATTGGACAAGGCGCAAGCGGCTTTCGATCGCCTGGATCATCCCAACACGTACTCCTGGAACATCATTGTCGCGGCATACGCTCGCAACGGGCAGATCGATCGAGCGAGAGATCTCTTTGACGAGATGCCCTCCAAGGATGTTGTCTCATGGAATGCCATGATCGCAGCATATGCCCAAGATGGGGACCTGGAAAAAGCCAAGGCACTGTTTGATAGAACAAAGAAGAAGGATCTCTTTACCTGGAACACGATGATGGCTGCGTATGCTGGAGAAGGGAAGATTTCGGAGGCGCGAGAGATCTTTGATAGGATGGAGCAGCGAGATCTTGTATCCTGGAACACGATGATTAACGCTTATTCCCAGAACCGGCATATTGCCGAGGCTAGGAAGATCTTTGACGCGATGAAGCAACGGAACGAGATTTCTTGGAACACGATGATCTTCGCCTACGCACAGAACGATGATCTAGAAGAAGCCGAGAGATTATTCGAAAGAATGCCTCACCGGGACGCAGTAGCGATGAACGCCATGGTCCAAGCCTATGCCATGGCCGGGAGGATCGATCAAGCGCGGCAGATGCTGGAGACGACCCTGGATCGCCTGGATTGGACGATGACCGTGGCCTGGAACGCGCTGATTGCAGCTTGCGGCGAGCGGCGGGATTCCTTCAGCGCCAGAGCTGTGTTTGATCGAATGCCAGATCGCGATCGAGACGTGGTGTCCTGGAACACGATGATCTCCGTCTACACCCAGGCCGAGAATCTGGAAGAATCGAGGAGGATATTCAGAGCGATGCCTCACTGGAATGTGATCTCCTGGAACTCGATGATACTCGCCCTAGCAATCGAGAGCGCCATAGACGAGGGCGCGGAGCTCTACTCTAAAATGGGCGAGCGCGATGTGGTCACTTGGACGGCCATGATCAAGCTCCTCGGCGAGGCGGGAAAATTTGAAAACGCGCGGGAGATTTTCGAAGAGATGCCGGAGAGGGATGCGATAGCTTGGAATGCCATGCTCGCGGCATATGCCTTGCACAGGCAAATGGAAGATTCTAGGGCTTTGTTCTTGGAGATGCCTCACAGGAACGTCATTTCTTGGAACACGATGATCCAGGGTCTCGTCGAGGACGGCCAGGGCGAGGAATCAATCAGGCTCTTCCAGCGGATGGATCTTGAAGGCGTCCCGCCTGACGCGATCACGCTCGTCACCATCGCCGATGCGGCCAGCAGTGTTGGATCTCTGGATCGCTGCAGGACGATCCACGAGAGCTTCCGCGGGTGTGGCGCTGGATCGGAGCTTCCAGTGGCGAATGCGCTCATCAGCATGTATGGCAAGTGTGGATCTCTGGCCGATGCTCACGTAATCTTCGACAAGATCTCTGGAATCGGCGATGTTGTCTCGTGGAACGCCCTCCTTGCGGCGTATTCCCAGGCGGGACATCACGGCACCGCAAGAAATCTCCTGCGATCGATGATCTTGGACGGCGTCGCTCCAAACGGGATCACATTCATCGGGCTCCTCTCAACTTGCAGCCACGCCGGGATGGTGATCCAGAGCTGCGAGTACTTCGCATCGATGTGGCCGGATCACGGGATAATCCCTGGCAGCGAGCACTACCACTGCATCGTTGACATTCTTGGGAGATCCGGATGGCTCCAGGAGGCGCTGGACGCGATCGGCAGCATGCCATTTCCTGCCGGGGCCGAGGCGTGGACATCGCTGCTCACGGCGTGTAGCCTACATTCCAATGCCAAGCTCGGATCTCAAGCTGCTCACAACGCTTCGGAGATGGATTTGGCGAATCCGGCGCCATACATGATGCTCTCGGGGATCCTTACAGCGAGCTAGGGTTCTTCGCGAAAAGATCGGACGAACCAGCGGGGCCAGCCGTTGGATCCACATATTCCTTACAGGGTTTATGGTTTAGGGTTTAGCTATATCTTAGGGCTCGCTTCTCCGAAGGGTTCTTAGCTAGAAAGGGGGAGAATGCGCTTCGCGGGGGTTGCGAGGAGCGCCAGGCACCTCCTGACCAGCAGCCGCTTTCTCTCCTCTACCACATTTGGCTCGCAGAGCGATGGACTCTTCCAGGGACGCTGCTTCGCCACGACGACCTTGGCACAATCATCGGTTTGGTCTCCATAGATGGATTCTATAAGTTCTAACTACACCTGTTTTTATGTAGGCTCCGTCAAAGGTTCTTTTTTTCCGAACACAAGCGGACGAGATCACTCAGGTGTGTGCGCTTGCGAAAATGTGGGGTTTTCTTAGTGTGGAATTTCTTGCAGGAGGAGCTCACAGATCTTGTGAAACCATTTGGATCGATAAACAAGTTCATTGTGATGAGATCAGGGAAAGATGTATGCGTTTTCGTTATTTCTCAGTTCTTTCTAAATCGTCTTGCTGTCGTAGGCACTTCTGGAAATGGGAGACGTAGAGGAAGCAAGGAGTGTTATCAAGCACTTCTCTGAGGACCAGGCGCTCCTGAGGTACCGCAAGTTCACATTCTGTTTGTTGTCATTTTCAAATGTGTTGCAGGGGGAAGGAAGTCCAGGTCGAGTATTCCTCGCGCCAGAAGCTGAGCGAACCCGAAAACCCCAAAGTCTGTGTGTCTTCGTCAGCCATACGTTCCTTGCGCTTATGCTTGTTCGTTTTCTAGGTGGAGGCTTCTCGGGTGCTTCTTGCCATCATTCATAATCCGCTCTATCAAATGAACGTAGATATACTCCACCAAGTTTTCAGCCCTCATGGCAATATCGAGAAGATTGTCATCTTCCACAAGGCTGGTCAGTATCTTTTACCAATGGCATAGCTATTTAACAAGCCTCTTCGGTAGCAGCTGTTCAGGCATTTATTGTCTTCGATTCCGATGAAGCTGCTGCAGCGGCCAAGTCAGCCCTCCAGGGACGCCAGATCTTCGATGGCTGCTGCAAATTGGATATTAAGTTCTCGATGTAAGTTATTTGTCTTGTCTTTCATGTCTGGTTTGATCCTTATCGTTTGCGTTTGTTGAGCAGTAATCAAAATGTTAGAGTCATAGCCAACAATGAGCTTACCAGGCAAGTTTCTGAGTTTTGCATTTCGCTTTCTTGGAAATTATAAGGAACCGGTTAAAATGAACAGGGACTACACAAATAATTCTTTGCCAGGGGATTCACAGAGCAAAACCTCTCCGCAGGCTTCGATCTTGGGTGCCGGCACTGCGTTTTCTACGATGAAGCAAGGTGGTTTTGGTGGGGTTAAACGAAGTCTTCAACTTCCTCTTGTTTTTTCCTTTCGAAATTTCAGGCTCGGTCCCGTTGTCGGGAGTTCTTCCATTTGGGGTCACTGGAAGTAATGACAAGTGTACTCTCCTTGTTTCAAATCTACACGAGGTACTTGTGTGTTTTTTTTATACGGTATGGCTGTACAAGAGTGTCTTTTTCTCGCAGAGAACAGACGAAGAGAAACTCTTCAACCTCTTCTCTGGATATGGAAGAGTGCTGCGGATTAAGATGTTTGAAAATGCGAAGCAAGCCTTGGTTCAGCTGGCAGACGGGGTCCAAGCAGAGCTTGCTTTGAACTTTCTAAAGGTAAACCTTGTTACTTGCTTTTCTGTCTCTCTGACTGGGAGTTTAAACTACAGGGAGCACCGCTGCTTGGAAGCGCGATGGAGATCTCCTTCTCGAAGCACAACACCATCAGACACCCTCGTACTCGCGACTTCACAATGGACCCCTACAACAGATTCAACAGCGAGTACGTCAAGAACTGCTGCCCGCCCTCGAAGATCCTCCACATCTCCAACGTGAGCGACGAGGTGGAGGAAGGCGACCTCTTAAACTTCCTGGCACCCCACGGCGTCATCCAGAGGGTGAAGCTCTTCGAGTCCACCAACAGGAGGCAAGCTCTGGTAGAATTCGACACGATCGAGCAGGCGACCGAGGCTCTCGCCTCCAAGCACAGGTCCAAACTCAAAGCTACCTCGCTCCGGATCGCCTTCTCGAGGTACCATGCAATTCGATGATCGTGTAGCAGCGGTGATACTTCGATCACTAGAACAACACTAAGAAGAAGTAAGGATTAGCGAGCTCCAGTCTTCCTCTTGTCTTTGTTTGCTCTCTCGATTTTTCTTCTCCGTGTTCTTAACTTTTTAATGTGTAGCAGCTGCGATTCTCACCTAGAAATCTGCGCAGTAGCAGCAGCAGTAGCAGCAGCAATGAATCGAGCGCAAAAAAAAGCTCACGAGGAACGGCAAAAATAGTTGTTGGCCGGTCTGCCTCGATTTCGCGTTGACATGAAAACATAGTTAACAAAAAACACCATGGCTGGATCTAACGGTCCAGATTCGCACCGATCGGACAGCCCAGATTGAATGTCTCGTTCCCGGCATTAATTCCGAGTGACATGTCGTGTACATTCTCCCTCTGCCAGCGTTTAGGGCTCTCGCTCGATCGATGCGCCCGAGTGGAAGTGGACGATTGGCGTGGGCCGCGGTGTTGCCGCGATCAATCGCTGTGGATTGTACTGGATGGAACGAGAAAGAGGAAAAAAGATGCCCTTCTCTCGGAAAAGAGGAACGTTTTGTTTGCTAGCAGCTAGTGCGTCCCTGATTTTCAACATTGGCCTCGCTTTTCTCTTTCCTTGGAAGCCGATCGAGAAGCCCATGTAACGGATTCCAGCTCCGATCGCACTCCGATCCACCGAATTTCTTTCCCTCCAAAGCAAAGCAGGGGGGATTAGAGAATTAGGGTTCTTGGCCGAGAGCATTTAATGGATGGCGATTGGGTGAAAGGCGATGGATTTATTTCTGTGCGCTTACCAAACTCTGGCTGGAGAACACCAACTGACCCCCTTTCGGCCTATACATTTTAAACAAAATCACAGCATCGATCGCGCCCTCTTTGTTCCTGGGCTGTTCTTTTCCGGTTTCTTCATCAAATCCCCTCTTTTTCCTCCGTGGATTCCATCACTGCCACCTCAAAGGTTTGCGCGGCTTTGCCTAGCGCCTAGCCTAGCGGCCCACGAGAGAGAGAGAGAGAGAGAGAGAGAGAGAGAGCGACAAACGCCCAAAGCTTTCACCCCTCTTTTCCTTCCTCTCTTCCCTCCCCTGCTCTGCCAATGGCGAGTAAATTCCGGGCGGGATCCAGATGCTGGTGACAATCGCGCGATCTCGGCTCTGCCCAGCGAGCAATCGGGCGTTTTGGAGCTGCCCAAATGAAGGATTCGGCTAGAATCGTCCAAGGGTAGCAGCTTTTTCGCCGGATCGATCGCGAGAGGGAGAGAGGTGTCAGGGGCGTGTACTTTGCCTGCTCGGCCGATCAATCAATCCATCTCTCTCGGGCAGCATTTGAAATCTCTCGCAATCATGGAAGAAGAGGGCGTAGATCACATCACGGAGCAACGGCAGGGGCTGGAAACCATCGAAGATCTCGACGACGCCAAGAAGGAGAGCACTGCCACAAATGGAGAAGATGGAGAGAGCCACTTGAGCAGCACGAAGAAAAAGAGGAGGAAGAAGGGGGAAGAAGAAGAAGAAGAAGAAGAAGATCGCAGCGTTCCGTACTACAAGCTCTACTCCTTCGCGGATGCCATGGATTGGGGGCTGATCTTCGTGGGCGCAATCGGGGCGTGCGCCCATGGAGCGGCGATTCCAGTGTTCTTCATCTTCTTTGGGAAGCTCATCGATGAGTTTGGCGCAAACTATGATAACCCGACCAAGCTCGGCCATGGCGTCTCCAAGGTACGTTCTTCTTCCTCTCTTTCTTTCCCATTCTTTGAGATCGATCCAATCTCCATTCTTAATTGATAGACTACTTCTTCCAAGCGAGTTTTCTATCGAGTGTTTCGAGAGCTTCTTTCGAGCTAACTGCTAAGGCCATAGAATCGAAAGTTCTTCTCTCTTTTCTCTGTCCTACCTTTAGTTTTTTTGTTTTTCTTGCCGCTAATTGTGTGTTTGCTCGTGGCAGTATGCTTTATATTTTGTCTACCTTGGACTCGCGATCTTGGTCGCAGCGTGGCTTGGTAAGTTTCCACAAAAACTTCCAGAGAAACACCAAAAAATAGATTTTTCCTGGAGAGGTTGATGGCGATCTTGATTGTGATTGCTCAAAATTCCACCTTTCGAGTGAAAGCTCTAAATTATCTTGTGTGGATCCAGAGGTGGCGTGCTGGACTTACACGGGCGAGAGACAATCGGCACGAATGAGAGTGGCTTATCTCAAAGCGATGCTCAGCCAGGACGTGGGATTCTTCGACACGGACACGACCACCGGCGAGATCGTCAATGGGATCTCCAGCGACACCGCCCTTGTCCAAGAAGCAATCGGTGCAAAGGTAGAGTAAACTTCGATCGTTGTTCTTCCGAGAACTTTGGAACAGCTCTCTTGATCACGCTAAAGTTCTTCTCGTTTGATCCTCCATAGGCTGGAAACTATCTCCACTACATGGCCAGATTTGTGGCTGGCTTCGCGGTCGGCTTCTCGTCCGTGTGGCAACTTACGCTCGTCACCCTCGCTGTTGTTCCCGGGATTGCTCTCGCCGGTGGATTGTACGCTCACACCATGATCGGGCTCACCACAAAGAACCAAAAGGCCTACGCGAAAGCTGGAAACGTTGCTGAACAGGTGATCAAGCTTGTTCCTCCTTTGGAAACTTGGAAAGCTGAACCTTTGATCTTGTAGAGCATTTCCCAAGTAAGAACGGTCTACTCGTTCGTCCAGGAGGAGCAAGCCGTGGATTCTTACGCTCGAGCGCTGGAAACGACGCTGGAGATTGGAAAGAAGAGTGGCCTCGCCAAAGGAATGGGAATCGGAGCAACGTATGGCTTGACAATCGGTGCGTGGTCGCTGCTCCTATGGTACGCCGGCGTTTTAGTTCGCAATGGAACCACCAATGGTGGCGAAGCTTTCACCACCATTCTCAACGTCGTCATCGCCGGACTGTAAGTTCCATCCATCCACCTCGAGTTCTCTCATTTCTTTTCTTCCAGATCTCTTGGAAACGCTGCTCCAAATCTCGCAGCCTTCGGCAAAGGCCGAGCCGCGGGATACACCATACTGGAGATGATCAACCGAAAACCATCCATAAATCTCCAGGCTCTCGAAGGGAAGAAGCTCGACAACGTCCATGGAAACATAGAGTTTGACAAAGTATGCTTTAGCTATCCATCCCGGCCGGACGTCGTCATCTTCCAGGATCTCAGCCTCTCCATCCCCGCGGGAAAGACTGTGGCTGTCGTTGGAAGCAGTGGATCCGGCAAGAGCACCATCATCTCCCTCATCGAGCGTTTCTATGATCCCCAGTCAGGTACGAAGAGAAGAAAGAACTTCTCGATCGTCCTGACGATAAATTCTGTTTTTGATCTTGTTGGTCGCCAGGAAGAGTGCTCCTGGATGGAATTCCAATCCAAGAACTCCAGCTCAAGTGGCTGAGGGGCCGGATCGGGCTGGTGAGCCAAGAACCGGCGCTCTTCGCGACGAGCATCCGAGAGAACATCCTGTTTGGAAAGGAGGACGCAAGCGATGGCGAGATCGAGGCGGCTGCCAGAACCTCGGACGCTCACACCTTCGTCAAGCAGCTCCCCAGCGGCTACGACACCCAAGTTGGCGAGAAAGGCATCCAGCTCTCGGGCGGACAGAAGCAACGCATCGCCATCGCTCGAGCTATGGTGAAAGATCCGGCCATTCTCCTGCTGGACGAGGCCACCAGCGCCTTGGACGCGAGCTCCGAGAGTGCCGTCCAGGAGGCTCTCGAGCGGCTCATGGTGGGGAGGACGACGGTGGTGGTGGCGCACAGGCTCTCCACCATCCGGAACGCCGATACCATCGCGGTTGTCCATCAAGGGAAGGTGGTGGAGTCTGGAACGCACGACGAGCTCCTCGCCAAGGCCGAGTTCTACGCTGCTCTCGTCAAGCTCCAGGCGGCGGCGGCGGCGGTGGCCAAGGAGAGTGACACTGCTTCCAAGCACTCCGCCAGGTACGCTTGCTTCGCTCGATCCCCTTCGCAAACTTCGATTTTTCTTCTTCCACCAGGCACTCTCGCGGGAGTTCTTTGTCACTGTCGCAGCGAACTTTCAGCTTCCGGGTGAGCGTACGCTCCGAGGCCGACGCTCACAGCAACGCCGAGCTCGAGGAGTACCACCAGCAGCACCAGTTTCCAAAGGCCTCGTACTTTCGACTGCTCAAGCTCAATGCCCCGGAGTGGCCTTTCGCGCTGGCTGGAGCACTGGGAGCTATTCTTGCCGGAGCCGAGACCCCCTTCTTCGCCTACGGGATCACGCAGGCCTTGGTCACCTTCTACAGCCCCGACCAAAGCCACCAGAAGCGAGAAGTCGAGAAGATCTCCACCATCTTTGCCATCGCCACTGTCGTCACTGTTGGAATCTACGTCCTGGAGCACTACTTCTTCGGCGTCATGGGCGAGAGGCTGACGATGCGAGTCCGGAAGATGATGTTCTCGAGTAAGTTCTTCCTGCCAAAGTTTCCAGAGTTGTTAACAAAGTTCTTGACGCAGATATCTTGCGGAACGAGATCGGCTGGTTCGATCGAGAAGAGAACAACAGCAGCTTGCTGGCCTCTCGTCTCTCGTCGGACGCCACCATGCTTCGTGCCGCCGTTGGGGATCGCCTGTGCACTCTCACGCAAAATCTCGCCTTGATAGTCACCGGCTTCGTCATGGCGTTCGTGCTGCAGTGGAAGCTGACGCTGGTTATCATCGCCCTCTTCCCTCTCATGATCGGAGCTCACATCACCGAGGTAGGAAAGAGCTCGTTGTTCTTTGTTGTTCTTCGTTGCTCTTCGTTCTCGCTAGCTGATCGACTTCGTAAACTTTCTTTCCAGCACCTCTTCCTGAAAGGCTTCGGAGTTAATCTCAGCAAAGCTTACCACCGAGCAACAATGGTGGCGGGAGAAGCCGTCGGGAACATCCGGACAGTCGCAGCGTTTTGCGCCGAGAAACGAGTGATGGATCTCTTCAACCGCGAGCTCCAAGGCCCCAAGAGCAACGCTTTCACCCGTGGACAGATCACCGGCATCGGCTACGGCGTCTCCCAGTGCTGCCTCTTCAGCTCCTACGGCTTGGCCCTCTGGTACGCCTCCAATCTCATCAAGCAGGGTGACACCACCTTTGGACCCGTGCTCAAGAGCTTCGTTCTCCTCATCTTCACCGCCTTTGGAGTCGCGGAGACGCTATCTCTAGCACCCGATATCCTCCGAGGCTCGCAAGCGGTCGGCTCGGTCATGGAGCTCATCGACTACCAGACCGAGATAGATCCCGATGATGGCGAGGCCAAGGAGATCAGCCACGTCCGGGGCGACGTCGAGCTCCGGAGAGTCTGCTTCAGCTATCCAACCAGGCCGGACGTGACCATCTTCCGGGACCTGAGCCTGAGAGTCCGAGCCGGCAAGAGCCTGGCTCTAGTCGGTCCCAGCGGCTCGGGGAAGAGCTCGGTCATCGGCCTCATCAGCCGGTTCTACGATCCATCCTCCGGGGCGGTGCTCGTCGATGGAAAGGACGTCAGCAAGCTCAAGCTCCGATCGCTGAGGCAGCACATCGGGCTCGTCCAGCAGGAGCCCGCGCTCTTCGACACCACCATCTTCGAAAACATCCGGTATGGCAAGCCTGAGGCGACGGAGTCGGAGGTGGTGGAGGCGGCCAAGGCAGCCAATGCTCACAGCTTTATCAGCTCTCTTCCGAATGGCTACCAGACTGTGGCCGGGGAGAGAGGCGTCCAGCTCTCGGGTGGCCAGAAGCAAAGGATCGCCATCGCCAGAGCTGTGATAAAGAACCCGGCCATCTTGCTGCTCGACGAAGCTACCAGTGCGCTGGATGCGCAGTCCGAGAAGGTGGTCCAGCAGGCCTTGGACAGGGTGATGAAAGGTCGGAGCTGCCTAGTCGTCGCTCACAGATTGTCCACCATCCAGAACGCAAACGTGATCGCGCTCCTCCAGGACGGGCAGATCATCGAGCAAGGCAGCCACAGTGAATTGGTCCGGAAGATCGGAGGCGCCTATGCAAAGCTTGTCAGCTTGCAGCAGCAGCAACAGCACCACGAAGAACACCGCCTGGATTGATTGGATGGTTAGAACGTCCAAGGAAACCATACAAAAGAAAAAGAAAAGTCACCTCGTATCATCACCTCGCAAGTTATCGCGCATAAAAGAACCTGTGGTCACGATCACGTAGAAGAACCAGAGATCCTAGCTAGAACCTCTAGAACAAAGATCATGAAAGAAATTTATTTTCCCCCAGGCCTCTAATATCACACAAAACGATACTCACCAAGACATCCAGACTAGTGCAAATAATATATCTACAGCGGCTACGAATCGATCGACACTTACTGGGATTCCTTGTTAGACCACACATTGTCCCAAGATCCCTCCTTTGGAAGAGAAGCGACGACAGCACCATCACCACCACCTTGCTTTGCCTCAGCTCCGGCCAAGGCTCTTGTTCCTGCCACAGAGCGAGCCTTCGGCGATCTCGGCCTGAAGCCCAACAGGCGCAACACGAATCGTGCGAGCTCCCCGTAAAGAATCCCAGCCCGATCACACAGCTGCGTAAGACGGAAGTCACACATGAGCAAACTCTTCACACTCGTTCCTGTACGTACTTGAAGAAGCGCCGTGATGAAAAAATGGAAAGCCTGAGTGTTCTCGTCAATCAGAATTGCCAGCCGTCCAAAGAAAGTCATGACACCATGCAGCTGCGCAGAAGAGAAAAACAGACTTTCATCACACGCGTAGCAAAAAAAAAAAACAAAACAAAACGAGAAGAAGTCGCCACTCACCACGGAAAGCATGGACTGCCAGAAACTGGGAGCGCGAGGAGGACCACCATACGGATCGTCAGGATTGGGAGCCATGGGATTCCCAGCACCATAGCCTCCATAGCCGCCTAAAGGCCCTCCTCCCATCGGCATTCCAAATCCACCATAGCCACCACCAATTCTATTGTACATCCCTCCTCCTCCAAACGGGCTGCCACCATAGTTGCTGCCATATCCTCCTCCAAAGTAGCTGCTTCCATATGCAGAACCATTGTATCCATAGCCACCACCATTGTAAGCACCACCACCGTAGCCACCGACCGAGTTGTATGGTCTGTTGTACGTGCTCATCGTTCCATAGCTCCCATAGCCTCCTGGAATGCAAGAACACACACAATTGGCGAGGATGTAAGGATGGAAGTACGCTGTACTGGAAGAAAGAAAGAATCAAACAAACTTACCTTGGTTGCGTTCCCAGGGTCTCAAAGGCACAGCGGCCCCAACGGCGGTGGAAGGCTGCTGGGCGAGATTTTGCTTGTCGATCGTTGTGGCGGCGGTGCCAGAGCTAGCAATTGCTGCCGCCGTGCTCGTAGTCGGCGAGGAAGGGGCAAATGGAGAAGGGCTTGAATTGCCTTGAGATCCAGGGCGCTCCCAAGGCTTGGCAGGCGCCGGTCGGCCTGCAAGGAGAGAATCGGTGAAATTCGAGGCGATTCCACCATACCTGAAGCAGCCATCTCCTAGAACACGAGAAAATCATGGAAATGTCATGAAATCCGGGGCGATCTCGTGCCCTCGCAATGATCCAATCGAAGCCGCCGGAGCTCTCGCCCTCGCCAAGGCCTAGAAATAAGATTAGGGCTACGTGAGCCATCGATAAAACCAAAGGGGGCAAAATTTTTAACCCGTGGTAAAAGAGCGTGGTCTGTGTCACTGGTAAAAGTCTGGCTATGGCGTCGGGGAAGAGTAGTGTAATCCCGATCACAAACGCTCGAGCCTCACTAACTTTAGGGTTTTAGAAAATATTTCGGGGATGAGATCGGGTCTGCCAGTTCGAGCGCTCCGGCTCGAGATCTGGCCCGGCGCTGCGCAGATCGGCAGCGATTCTCAGCCGCCTCGGCGTCGCGATGCGAGTGCCGTGTCGATGCGGAGGAGGAGGAAGGTACAGTGAAGCGCTGATTCCTAGGGAGCTAGAAATCCAGGCAGTGGCGCCATCGATTGGGCTGCATTGAGTAGATTTCGCGAGAAGAGGAAGAAATATTTCGATCGAACGCTAGCGAGCAGTATGACATGTCGAGAGACTGGGATGAATCACGCTGGATGTGTGGCCCAGCCGTGGGACCAAGGATGTTCCTCAAGGCGGCTTCGACCGTGGGAGGAGGGCACAACACCAGCAACAGTAGCGGCATCGCTCAGCCTCAGCCAGCAGCACAAGCTCCATCTTTCATCGAGTCCGCAAAGGTAAGAGAAAAGAGCTCTTTTTGTTTTTTCATGAGATTTCTAGCTACCTAGTACTAGTCTAGCCTATGGAATGCGCTTTCTAACGCTCTGTTGGGATTGTAATCCAGACCTCGAAGCGCTTGAAGCCGGAGAAATGGAGAGCTGCCTTTGACAAGGAAGGAAGAGCTGTGGGCTTTCACAAGATTTTGAAAGCCATCGTCTCGGGGGTGAGTTTCAAAGCATTCGTTTTGTTTTGGATCTGGAAGTTTTTTAATGAATGGCCAGGGCCTTTGTTTATGGTGTCAGGGTGTTGATCACTCGATCAGAGCGGAGGTATGGGAGTTTTTGCTTGGCTGCTACTCGCTCGGCACGACTGCCGAGTATCGGCAACAGCTTCGTCACGCACGAAGGTCTCGGCTTGTTTGTTTTTTTTTTGCTTGTTTCACGGGAAATTCTGTTTGTGTAGGATTCGTTATCAAGAGCTCATCGAGCAATGCCATCTGATGCATGGAAGTATTGGATCAGGCACACTGGCGTATACGGTCGGCACTAAAATTATGGACGTCCGAGTGACGTCCAAAAGCACCACTCGAGAAGAACACACCACTTTAAATGAGGTGGCAACGTCTTTCAAAGAGAAGATTGCTTCCTGGTCGGAGGAGCGCTTCCAGGCTGCACAGGATCTTGAAAATTTTGAGGACTCGAGAGAGAGCTTTGAGGAAGGAGATCTCCTCATACAGGAGGACTTGGCGCCGAAGAAGTCATCCGAAGCTGGCAGTCCGAGCGATGAAGGAACAGACTCGGGACCGAGTGAAGGAGAAGTCGATAACTCATTTTCTAACGACGACGGCAGCCAACTGCCTGATTACCTGCGTTTGCCCGTGAGAACATTGTTTCCAACATATGTGATGGATAGTACTACCAGTTCAACGAAGGACAGGACTTCAGGCGCGACTGACAAAGCCGAAAACAAAGACTTACAACTACATACTCTAAACGATGACGATGATAACTCAATTGTGACTATATTGAACGAGAACGAGACCCCGGAAAGTGCGAACGAGCAGCCAGAAGTTACAAATGAGGTGAAAAGAGAAGAAGGTGATACAACGAGATCTCCAGAAAAACAGGAAGACTTAAAGGTGCCGAGCGGAGGGGGGGCGTTCAGGGACGAGAAAGTAGCCGATTGGCTTTGGACATTGCATAGAATAGGTGAGAAAAATGCCTCTATGTTACCTTTGATCTCTGACTCATGCTTTTATTTGCAGTTGTGGATGTGGTCAGGACTGACAGACACCTCAAGTTCTATGAAGACTCCAAAAACATGGCACGGATGTCGGATATCTTAGCAGTCTATGCATGGGTTGATCCTGCAACGGGCTATTGCCAAGGCAAGTTATCAACTTGAAGTGCGTAGACTGAAATCTTTCGTTTCTTTTGCCAGGCATGAGTGATTTGCTGTCGCCATTTATTCTGATTTACGAAGATGATGCTGATGCGTTTTGGTGTTTTGAGAGCCTCCTCAGGCGGGTGGTAAGTAAATTCCCTGTCTCCTCTGTCTTTTTTGCACACTGACCATTGAGTAGCTTTCCTTTACAGCGTCAGAACTTTCAGATGGATGGTCCGATTGGTGTCATGCGCCAGTTGCAAGCTCTGACCACAATTTTGGAGCTCACAGACGTCTACGTTTTCAAGCACTTTGTCCACATCGGTGCCGATAGCTTCCTTTTCGCCTTTCGAATGCTGCTGGTCCTCTTCCGTCGTGAGCTCTCATTTGGCGAAGCTCTGTGCATGTGGGAGGTACGCAAGCTTAGATTATTTTTCTTTTGTCTCATCGCAGCACATATATTTTCCAGATGATGTGGGCTGCGGACTTCGATAATGGAATTTCCTGGGCACTGGAATACCATTGCCCGGAGCTCCTTATCGTGAAAGATCCAACACCAGTGGATGAAACGCTACCGGAAGACGATAGCAAAGCAATGTCACCGCTTTACACTTTCCAGGACCAGTCACTAGACACCTCGCCGCTGGAGGACAACGATCGCGTTGGATATCTATCCAGAAGCCCGCTCTGTGGATTGAGAGCTGGAAACTTCTGGCCTCGTCACTCCCGACACAAGATACGGACCGTGAGTTCTCTGCTTGGCAAGACAGGCGACGATGAACTCTCCGTCTTCGTTGTGGCCGCCATCCTCGTGCTCAACCGGACCAGGTTTATGAAAGACGTGCATTCCATGGACGACGCTATTAAGGTGCAGTGTTTTCATCTATCCCAGATTGTGCAAAACCTCAGCTTTGATTTGCAGGCCTTCAACGAGATCCAGATGAAGATCAAAGTGCGGAGTTGTATCAGAACGGCTATCAAGCTGAGGAGGAAGTACCAAAGACAAGTAAGTTCTTTCGCTTCCTTGAAATCTGAAGGGAAACAATGAGATACTTGCAGCTAGTCCGGCGTGCTGCTTTGGAGAACAAGGCCAGCGCTATACAACGCCAGAAGCAGCGCCATGGCGGTGCTTAGCGTCTCCCACACAAGAAAAATCAAAGAAAAAGAGGATTTTTTTCCATTTTGCAAAGGAAATCGAGGCTCGTTACGTTCTCACATTTGGAACTGAGGGTGTAACGAGGCTATTGTATTTCTGCTAATTGTAATTTATTAAGGAAAGCACACTCATTTGAAATAAGCAAGTTTAAACTAAGCATGATTAGTGGGTGAGACTGGTGGGAATCGAAGCGAGGACCAACGTGCAGGCGACGGCTTTGACGGGCTGACGGGCTGCCCGGTCAAAACAAATAATTTATAACCATGCATTGACAGAGAGGAAGAGTTTACAAATTCACTCACACTCTTCAAGCAAAAGCGCAGCCAAACGAGAGGAAAATGGATGAATACGCGCAGCATTTTTAGGTATGGCTGCCGGGCGCGATCGCTAGGCCGGCGCTGGAGGAGATTTGCGCAGCGGGAGCGAATCGATCGGAGCGGCAGCTACTCCGATTGGTTGCGCGGTCCAAGTTCGCGGCGCTGGCCAGGAATTCCAGGTTAGGGTTTGGAGATCGGGAGCTCAGCGGTTCTAGATGCACATGTTGAGGGGATCCGGCCGTGGAAAATGGGAGGTTTGTGCTCGAAGACTGTGCCCGAGGATTCCAGTGGCTCATCAGAGGGTACCAGGCCAAACTTTAAGCGGCAGCTCTCAAAGCCTTCGCAGCAACCAAATGGAGTGAATGGGATCTATGCGGCAGGGAAGGCTCCCGCTCCCGATCCCTCTACCTCGGTCGACAAAGTTGCTAGCTCCTCGCCAGAGACGGATGATACCAAGGACGATGAGGAGGACAAGAGCGAACGGATCAAATTGTCCAGAGTACTTTCTCACAAGGCTCGGAATGCGAAGTCGATCCTTGGGAGAGCTGGGACAGCTGGCCTGGACAAGGCGGTGGTGATGCTGGATACGTTTGGGAGCAGCATCACAACCACGATTGGGAGTGGCTTTGCTGCTGGAGTGGCACCCAAGGGGAACAAGATTGGAATTCTAGCGTTCGAGGTTGCAAACACCGTGGTCAAAGGATATAGTTTGAAGCAGTCTTTGTCAGAGGAAAGCCTCCAGCTGCTCAAGAAGGAAATTCTTCCCTCTGAAGGGGTCCAGCGGCTCGTGTCTAAAGATCTCGATGAGCTCTGGCGAATTGCTGCCTCTGATAAAAGGTACGTCCAATGGACGTAGTTCAGCTTCTCTCTGTTTGACACTCTGGTGTGATCTTAGGCATGAGCTCAAAGTGTTCGCTAGTGAGGTTGTTCGTTTTGGAAACCACTGCCGAGCACCGGAGTGGCATCAACTCGATCGTCTAATCAACAGGTGCTTTACTTTTCATATGGATTTTGCCTATGCTCCAGTTCTTCTTGTGTAGACTGGGAACGGAAGTACAAATTCCCAGGCAGTCACCGGAGCACGCAGAGCAAGAAATGCAAGAGCTTATGACTCTAGCACAGAACACAGCAGTAAGTTGAAAAAACAAAAACGTTTTGTCTCTTGGTTTCGTGTATAGATTCTCGTGATACGTTTGTTGTCTGTGGACAGGAGCTATACCATGAACTCCATGCGTTGGATAGATACGACAACGACGTTCGGCGGAAGATCGAAGAAAACGAGTTGTCTTCTAATCCTCACAAAGGTACACTTGTAACCATTCTATTTATTGCCAACCTTTCCTGGCTCACGTTGCAGGGGAGAGCTTAGCAATGCTAAAAAGTGATTTTAAATGCCAGCAAAAGCACGTAAAGCTATTGCAGAAAAAGTCCCTCTGGTCAAAAATCATGGAAGAGGTACTAAAATCGTTTTCGTTCAGGCTCCATGTCTGAGATTTGTCCTCATTTTCTGTCAGCTAATGGAGAAACTGCTAGATATAGTGTATTTTCTTCATCAACAAATCGCTGATGCATTTGGTAGGTGCATACTTCTCATTTTAGGCGTGATTCATGTTCTCGGTCTATTGCAGGCGAGTATGATGAAGAGCAATCGATGAAGCTTTCAAGCGTTCCGAGATTGGGAGCTCTTGGCCTGGCCTTACATTATGCTAATATAATAAACCAAATCGACACTCTGGTAGGTCTTACAAATGTTCTGAATCCTATTTACGCCTGCGTTATCTACAGGTCTCCCGACCAAGTTCTATTCCTCCAAACACGCGCGATAATCTGTATCAAGGTCTTCCTCCTTCTATCAAAATGTCCTTGAGAAGTGCCCTCTACGCGGCTGCTAACTCAAACAAAGAAGAGGCAAGAAAAGCTGCTTATTAGTAAACATTTGTGGAGTATATTAAGTTTGTTTGTTTTCATGCAGCTCACAGCGTCCCAGATCAAAGAAGAAATGGAAAAAATACTGGTATGGATGGTACCAATCGCATCGAACACAACAAAGTAAAGATGTTTAAAACTAGAGCAGCAGCCGGACTGTTTGATTGATCCTTTTGGTTTATCTACGTGCAGAGCGCACCATGGATTCGGGTGGGTTGGAGAATGGGCTAGTGCTGGGTGAGTCGCTACTTCTTTAAACATTTGTTTCCTAGAAACACTCTAACCATGAGAATCTCAACAGATCTTCCATCGATCGGAAACCATACGTCCAGGAAATCAGCTTGATCCAAACACTTCATCACGCGGATCAAGAAGTGACCGAGAAGTATATATTAGACCTCCTGGTTTGGCTGAACCTCCTGATAAGCCGAGCCAAGAGTAACCTCAACGGCCATAACAGGTCCCCGCACAAGTCTCCCTTCCGCTCGCCAGTGAAGAAGACGATTGTGCTGAATCCATCGCCGCCGCCAGCAACGAGCTCCCGCGAGCTGTCCAAGGAGGACCAAGAGATGCTAACCGGAGCAGTGCTGAGGAGGCTGACACCGGGCATAAGCAAGAGCCAGGAGTTCACGAAGAAGCCGAAGGTTCTGAGCACGAGACTGAGCAAGAGTCACAGCCATTCTCCGCTACCATGCACGGTTAAGCCCGAGACTTCGACTCCATTCACTTCCAGGCGATCACTCCGCCCGCTGGAGCTGGAACTCGAGAGGATCAGAGCTCTGGACAAGATTGACAGGGTCGACACTCTTACAGGAGCTCCCGCCGCTGCTACTGCTTGAGTCGAGAGGAAGCTAATCGGACAAGGAGAAGCTCGAAAAGCTCGAAACCTCGCAACCTCGAAAGCTTGAAAGCTCTTAAAAGCTCGCAACCTCGGGAAGTCTTCACAGGAGGTAAGAAAAGAAAAGAAGAGAGAGAGAGAGAGAGAGAGAGAGAGAGATCGTGTAAGGCGAGGCAAGGAAGAGAGTAAGTAGAAGAAAAGAACTACATAGTAAAGAAACGTGGACTGGCAATGGTGTATATTATGTCGAAAGTTTTGCATAACGATAGATTCAAATCAAAGTTCTATGGTCCAACGTATGCAATCAGAATGTGATGGGCTGGCAAAGAATTAATAATATCCCAAGTTATGTGTATTTGAATTGCTAAAACAAAATTTATTTATTTTTAGCAGATTTTATATACATCAGTGCCGGATCTTTAATACCAGCTGGATTTCAAGTTGAGCGTGGTGTTCATCATTGACAAGATAAGCTGGGACTTTGATCCAAGAAGGAACTAAGCTGCATCGGTGTCAAAAAAGGTAGTTATGGCATATAGTTGTGCAAGAAAAATGGCTGATGCATGATGCATACCAAGGTGATAGCTCTGTAATTTATACTTCAGCAGATCAAAGAATTCCTCCAAGGCCACACATCCATGATTTATTACACAAGTTGGCATTCTAGGGATGGACCTGATGAGGCTTTTGCTAGATAAAGCTCAATTGGTGGAATATGTGTCAGCACTCTTGAGAGGTCACTTGCTGGAGTCTAGGGCTCATGGAATGGAACCTCTGAGTGCTTACTCCAAGCAAGGGAATGTACATAGCCAGGAGGTGTTTTGAATGATGGTTTCTTTTTGCTACGAGAATGGTGATTTCAAGTTGTGGAAGTGGTTATAGGAGTAAAGAAATGGCTGCGCATGCAATAAAAAAGATCATCCAAAGTGGCCATGAGCAGATTTTGAAAGTTGCTATGGAGCAAGGAAACTCGGAGTTTGTGGGGTTTCTCAGAGTGGCAGAAAAGGTGTCAAGGACGAATATGCTAGAACATCCTAGCATATTTCAGGTATATTCATTATCAAACCTTCATATGTGGCAAATACCAATATTATGATAGACACAATCACAGTTTTGGTATTATAGCATTGGTATTATAGCATGGAATTTGATGCAATCCACTATAATATTACGTGTTACTGAAAAAAGAGTTTATATAACATTATATAAAAGTCAGATCTTTGTAAACAAAGAAAACTATACAATATCAGATCTTTGTATAGTTTAAGAGTATAGAAATTAAATAAAAGTTCTACCAAGTTTACAATACAACGAATTCAAATCCAAGTTCTATACAACGTATGAATTCAAGTCAAAGTTGATGGTCCATGGTTGTCATTTCTTGTATAGTTTAACAATATAGAAGGACCTTCTATCAAAAAATTCTCACACCAATCAAGCATGGATGAAAATGATAGCTGTATGGTTCAAAGGTTGCGCACCAGATAAAATAATAAAAGATTGATTCGGTTTTACGTGGTTGTAAAAAGTGATGCCGCGGGGAAGTGGAGGGTGAGATATTCGCACCAACAGGGAGCGAATATGCTAATCCCTTTATATCAGTGGCGTGGACGGCAGTGAAGCCAACGAACCCTTTGTTTGTCTTTCTTGTGCCAGTGGAGAAGAAAGGAGGGCCAGCATTCGTGCGTTTTTAGGTATTCCATCGTTTCCCAGGGATTCTTCGATCGTTGCTCGCCAATCCGGCGCCTCCGGCAGCTCCCTGCCGATTCTCTTGATCTTCGTCAACGGAGCCACCAGTCCTGGTATTTCTTGATGGATTCTCATCGCCCCGCAGCTCGCCTCAAGCTCGCGCACCGGAGCGGCGTCTCATCGGCCTCAAATCTTGCGGCGTCTCTAGGTGCGGCGTCTTTGAGATTTCTCTGTCGATAATCTCTCATTCTTGATGCTTACTCTTGCAGCCTTCTTGCAAACTAGGGACAAACACTGGTCGTGTTCGCTGTCGTGCTCGATTTTCTCCTGAGGCATCGTTCTTCTGTCTCGTAAGCTTAGAAAATTTCTTTTTTTCTCCCTTTTCTGTTTCGCTCCAACGTTCTTCCATTCTTTTCCTTTGTAGCTGAGGCACACAAGCTCACGTCGCGCAAGCAGCCGCCAAGTGGTTCCAAACAAAATGGTGGTGCTCCAGAATTTTCGGGTGCAAGACTTTCTCGAGGCGGCCGAGCTGGAAATCTGTGCAATTCTTTACCACCCATTCAATTTGAGCACCATGGCTGGAACACTTTCTGATTCGAGGCTGTCATGCTTTCTGCGAGACGAAGGCTATGTTTTGTCCGTTGCTTCATCGCTTTCAAAGCACCAGCCTACAAAGGCATTGCTTATGAAACTCTCCCACAGCATCTACAAGGGGAATGAGGTATGGCAACTTAGTGATGCAAAGCTTTTCTAGATATCTGGCTATCTTCGTTTTTCTCAGGACGCAGTGACAGATTCGGCAAAAGAAATGAAAATTTTTATGATGAAGTTGGCAGCAGACAGCGATGTCAAAGCCAGCGTGATTCTCATGGCAATTTTCCACGCACGAGTGTTTCTTGCAAGAACTATCTCCAAATATATGGCTCCAGGCCAGAGCAGCTGGATTTCAGCGTATAACGAGCATGATTTCCAGGTAAACGTCACTTTTTTTTGTTTTCCTCCCATTTCAAGCATATAAACTCTCAGGTTTGCGCGTCTTTACTGGAGAAAGATCTCGAAACGAAGCTTTTGCAAGATGGAAAAGGAGGTGTACTCGAGAAACTTTTCAAGGAAGCGTTGAGCCACCAGATACAAATTTTTTCCTCGGCTTATCCGCGACACAAGGACGAGGCAACTTGCAGCTCCAATCCGTGGCACCCCGTCAACCTTCTCTTTACAACGGACTACGATATCACTTGCACCGTCAAAGACACATCAGAGATATTGGTCTCAGTGGCGAAAAACAACTCATCCACTAGCGAAGATCCACAGGAACGCTACTGGTCCCTGATGAAGGTGCACGACAATCGTATCAAGAACTGCTTGTCGATCTGGGAGTTTGAGAGCGTCGCTGCGAAGCTGACCCCCGTGACCGAGAAGCGAGGCGGTTTGTATCACCTGGTTCCTGGGATGGACTTGGGACTCAGATCATACATCAAAGGCAGCCAGGAACAGTTCGCGAATCCCGACGTCTCGTGCGTCTACGAGAGCAGCAACCTCAGGAACATCTTGAGGCAACTCGGGGACCTCGAGAAGAAAATAAACAAGGTACTGTTATCAAAAGTCTGTTTTGTTTCACTTTTATTCTGGAGCAGGAAGTCATGGCAGGAGGTGTTTTGAAAGGAGTTCGGCGCGAGCAAATAAGACGAGAAGTGAAACGAATTCCCCTACTCCACCGCTGCTCGGAGTTCCTCCAACAGCTAAGCGAGATCAACATTCCCATGCACTGCATCTCCGCGAGCTGGTCTCGCGATCTTATCATCGGAGGACTTCCAAGCCTGCCGGGTATGTATCCCTTTTTTTGTTTTAGCTTTCTAAAACACTCTTCGTCATTCCAGAGGGTCACTTGTTCGTTCACTCTAACGATCTAGTCTACGACGAGAAAGGAACCTCCGATGGAACCTTTCAAGGCGTGGTCCAGGACGCATTCGACAAGGAAGCCATCCTACACGCACTGCGAAGGATGTATAACGTGTACCCGGACGAGAACAAGAGAGCGGTGTTCTTGGGGGACAGCACCAACGATCTCTTGGCGCTGCTGGACGCCGACTTGGGGATCGTCATGGGACACAACCCCGCGCTCAGAGAGATGCTGCTGCGCTACAACCTCCAGCTCTTCCCGCTCGCCATCGCCGCAGCTCACATCCAGGCTTCCATCGAGTCCGGCAATCCAAAGAGCTACCGCCACAGCGGCGTCTTGTTTGAGGCGTCAGGGTGGAGCGAAGTGGAGGCTTGCTTGCTATTAAAGTAATATTTATCAAAGTTTTGTACTTTACTGAAAATTACTCTCTCCGCTTACCGACGTGGCATGAGACCCTCTTTTTCTTTTTTTCACCACCTCCCGTATATTATATGTTAATTTTAATTTTAATTTTAAATATATTACTGTGCTTAGAAACCAAACTATTGTAAAATAAAATAAAATTTAAACATGTGTATTCACATTAAGAAACATAGAATATTTATTTTTTCTAGTTAATATAAGTAAATTTATCCTATCTGGGAATTCCATATAACTTTTTTAATTATAATTATAAATTTTTATTATTTAATAGTTTATTAACATCCAGTTAAAAATATGGATAAAATAATATTATGCTTAGTAGAGTGTAAACTTGTTTACATGAAGTAATTTGAAATGGTTCTAAAGAATTATCTGGTGTTTTTCTATTTTTACATAAATATAGCATGTGGAACAAATATAGATTGGGGAGTAAAAGGAGCTCTTAGTGAACAAGATATTCAAACTATAATTGATCGTGGTTTTTTTAATTTAACAAAGAAAGTAAAATTTAATGTTAGCTATCCAGAAAATTATAAAGATGCAAGAATGGTTGATGTTAGCAAAGGTGCAGTTTTTGTAAGGATTGAACGCTTAGGAAAAAATTGTAAATCTGGAAAATCAACAACAAAACAAATACTTGGTACCTGAATAAGAGATGGTTTAAAATATACAATAAATGAATATAAATCAATATTATTATCACAACGAGCAGATAAATGTAAAATAACATTAACAAATCATATAATTGAGTATAGTCTCCAGTTTTTGTGGAGTCCTCAAAATTTATTTCCATTTTCTTATAAATATATTTATCCCACTGAAAAAGATTGTGATACAAGTTTAACCACTTTAAATGCTGGTTTTAAAGATTTCCGTTTATTAAAAGGCAACTTTATAGTATCATCTAATGGTAGAAATGTATTATACTTAAAATCAAATTGCCAGCTTGTATTTTTTTCAGGTAGAAATCGTTTATGGCAATCTGAAAATATTTTATTTTTTGAAGGTAATTGTGAACTTATTTTGCAAACTGATGGAAATCTTGTTATATATACTGAAATAAACCAAGTGTTATGGTCTATTACAAAATACTGTGACAAATGCATTTTTCTTACATATCTTACCATTGAAGATGACTGTAGCTTTATAATATATGAAGCTGTAGCACCAAACAATATTTGGTGGGGAAAAAGTTTTAAAAATCATATAGGCTGCTTCAAGGATTGAATCTCTTAATATAAAATTTATTTTATTTCTAAATTACTTATGAATTCTAATTCCAA